CAGAACACATCTCAGCCGATCTCTCTTCCACATCTTTTGTGTTTGTCCGACATGACGCAACGAGGAAACACCTCCAACCATGTTAAGATGGCCCCTTCAAGGTTATCGAACGTCACTCCAAATACTTTGTTTTAGAGGGAAGCGGAAAGCGTGATACCGTCTCCATTGATCGCCTGAAACCTGCCTACATTGAAGCACCCACGACTACATCCAGCAATCCTGCTATCCCAGCAACACCCACACCTACCAAGATATCCCACCCGCCAACCTCACTCCTTCCACTAGTCGCTCAGGACGACGCGTCCGTTTCCCTCAGCAGTAAGCTGATTACGAAACTTGAGGTGAGCAGCTTGTGATTCGTTACTTTAGTTATTCGGGCGCTTTCCCCTTTCATGGTCGACGCTTTAGTGGGGGAGCAGTGTAGCGTTTTGTACCCATATTTTACTTCCATTGTAACAATACGTATTTCATCAATTGAATTTGACATCATCAATTCATTTTGTGGCTGTGCTTATGCACGCATGACTGTCTCACCTGTCAGGTTACTTTACTCATTCGAGTAGCTCCTTCATATTCAAAGCGGGCCTTTTTGTGTGAATGATTATCTACCGCCCTTGTTTGTATATTTTGAGAATTCGAGTTTCATACATATAGGAAAACCGAGCACACTCAGCACACAGACCCGCGCGCAGGGAAGTCAACCACTTTCCACAAGTCCACGGACAATTATGGAACGTGTGTAGTAGCCATACTGCGGTGAACATACGTTCTCGTCGTCCGGAATTTCACCAAGCAAATCTCGCAGACGACAAATTCCCCTTTCGACTTGCTTCCATTTCTCATTAAGTTTATTTTTACACGTGTCGCAACCCACCACTACCAACCATGGCAACAACTTTTATTAGTGCATACAGCTTCTGAAATGTATTATGGCCATCATCAACAGTGCACTAAAAGAGGCATAAAATTGTAATTCGTTGTGACACCATACAAAATCGGTACCTCTGGCCAGTCCTTTTCGTCTAGATCAGCCAACAATAACCCATACTTTCGTAGGCTCATTTAGCTTGCTGTCATCTTGTTTTAGAATTTTTCTATTGGTGGACACATGACACCAGATACAACTTAACACTCAACAGATCCTGCTGATTTCATTCCCCCTTTTCCCCGGGTTGTAACTTTGGCAACAGCTACTTCGAATTCCCAGGATGTTCATCTTTTACGCGTTCTGCCCGGGACCCTTTGATAAAATCAAAATATCTTGCGACTGTACATTGGCTTGTCTCCACCCACGTCAATCCTCTTGTATAAAACAGATCCAACCCACGCAGGGATGCACACCCCTTGCACGATTGCCGCAATATTCACAAGGCTATCTGGGGACCAACGTTTGTCAGCGCCCTGATGGTAAGGCACTGCCATACCCAGTCTGATGGCACTCCAACAACTGTTTCCTTCCTAATCTCGACCGTCACCTCTCACCCACTCACACTTCTAATCGTAACTACGACAAAATAGTTCACCCAGCGCTAACCACCTTCTCAAAGGTTCGGTTCTAGCCCACTGAAATTTTCGTTTAGTTTTGTACTGCAATATCGGCTTTGTGTCTCAACATGTTCAACGATTTAATTTAGGGTGCTCCCTCGACCACATGTACGGCCAATATCACTCCGTCGAAAATATACTTTGCGCCTGATTTCGCTTCAAAAGCGGAACCAGTGAATCTACTCAGTTTCAAGGTAAGCCATATTTTTGGGACGAAATGTTCCATTTGCCCCACTTTGAATTTCTACAGATTTTATCCCCATCCATGTTTTCCGTGTCCCCGGCCATGTACTTAACCGCGAGAGGTAACTCGCGGCCTACAGCGGCTTTCCACATTTGGTTCAAATCGAACAATCTCTTCATTGTAATAGTTATAACTGTTGTCTACATGTTCTAACGGTTTTCACAGTCCATGACTACCTGATAAGGTTGCTTCGATGATTTTGCGATTCTCCACAATTAGCTAGCGGACTAGGACCTAATCAGCGTGTCCGGATAAATTAACAAGCAAAGTAACCAATACAAAATCACAAAATCACAATAGGAAAGGAATGAGTAGACAAATGGGGACTCACGAATGTGTAGACCCAATAGTCCACTACACCGATCCAAATGCAATGACTGGCTGTGGAAGGAAATATTCACTTAGCGAAATTTCCCGCAGATGGCTCCGCGTGAGCGATATATTCCACGGTAGGAAAATCATTCACGGCTAAAAATGTCGCAAGGATTTATTTTGACGCTCAACGGTTGACACAAACACAGAGATTTAGTCCCACTTGTTCAGCAGTCAACAAACAGTTCAACGGGGCGTGAATATACCCGTTCAGCAAGAAGTCAGCAGGTCGCACCGGAAAATTGTGTATTCGTAACATTAAAACAAACGCCATGATACAATACGCACGACAGTTACAAAGTGTGGTTTAAGTTCAGGAAGAATGGTAAAGGTGGCAACGTATAACACAAACTTCATTGCGTTGGTTTCCTCCACATTCTGCTTGGAACAGCTCCTAGAATTTTGTAAATCATCAATCATTATTATAAGGCACTTTGATCGGAACCCTTAACATTGTCTCAAGGAAGGAAGATCGTCTAGCCAGTGGCGCGGTTCCACATTCAAAATTTCAACATTGGTTTTGTGCGCGACATCGCTCTTAGTGGTCTTAGCAGGCAAACAGTTTGCAACAATACAGTCATTACCGAATCATTCCAATATTCTGAATTCGCCCGGCAAACAAAATCCCCACCAAGCCTGAATCTTGAATAGTTGGTCGTTTTCAAAAATCAAACTAATCGATATCCAAATCCGATCAAACTAATGAAATTAGTTTGCATAGCGGTATTTCATGCACACTGAATTGTCGAAATTGGGTTCAGATCAGTGATGCATGTGAAACAGACGAAAATTCAAGAGCCTCGTCTCCCATGGTGATGAACACAAGAGTTGGGTCCGCGTGTACGAGCGTTCAGATATAGTCTAACAAATAAACGCTGCTTGGATGGAATGCGATGATGCGTGCATTGGTATCACATAAATGCGTAAAAATATCGCCTAAACGACCATAAACAAAAGCATTTAATTTTCAGCGCAGGAGTAAAAGTGGGTAGAAATGTTAATCAGAGAGAAAAAATACAAATGATAAGCTGTCGATCTTTCTTCTAGAGTTGTGGGATAAGATTTTGGACACCCTTATTTGAAGACCAAAAACGCCACATACACAAATATAAAGCCAGGAGCTATTAGAACCGTACCTTAAATTATTTGTTCCACCTGGAGTTTTCAGGGTCATTGACCAAAATAAAATGAAACGGATGCTCCTCACCACCGTTGGGGACGGACCTGTCTGGATTAGACTCACCTAGTGGGTCGCCACGGTGTGGTCAGGACAAATATGTCTCAGCTCTAGTTTACCTGACAACCAAGTGGATTCGTTCCGAGGATGAAATAAGGTTGAGAAAATGAGAGTATTTTGTATTCATTTTTGGTGGTGCGGTGGAGTGGATGAATGGTGGGAGAGGTCGAGGGAACGTTAAATGGGGCCATGCACTGCAAAAATAGTTGTTGCAGATGGGACTCAGTCCGATTGAGGGGTTTCGGTGGGGTAACTGGTTACCCAAGGCTGAGTGGCCGAAAAAAGTTTTTAATTTTGGATCGTAGGTTGTAGGCTTAAGGCTCTAAAGTTAACTTTGAGGTGTGACTTACTAAACGTTGATGGGGAGCATGGTCTGGGGCTCCAAGGAACACAGCCTTTTGAGAAGACACAAGGTGAAGATAGACACTCAATAAATATTTCAGCCCCATAATTAGCATTGAAGGAACAATTCTGGCACCAACGACCGGGTTATATTCGGGCAAATTAGTGTGATACAGCGGAAGACAATATTGGGTCCTTGTAAAAGGTCCCACCCACGGTTGCACACCGTCAGATGTGGTGACAGCTTCATCGGGTCCGCCATCGATGTGATTTATTAAAACGGAGCTGGTACTCATCAAAAGGTCTGAAATAACTGACTGAGTCTGTGAAACCGACTGACCAGCAGGTGGGAGATGGATTTTGCCAACCGAGTGAGGTGATGTTCGCTGAACCAATGATTATTGAAGAGAGAGGTATAAACCCACAGCACGGTATACTATTGGGAGCAAACCCATCCGGACACGCCTGACAAAATAAATGGAAGGCAGAGCATAAACCCGGCACTTATCTGTGGGTACATGGTAAGGTTTAAAATAAACGTGTCCGATCGGTGCAATTCACTACGAAGAACTCCATAAAATGTTGGGCCAAATGGGAAAATTTAAAAGAAAATGGAAAATAAATGCGTGATTCAAAACCTTAGACAAGAGGGACACCGCAAGGATTATACCGCATTTTCTGTGAAGCCCAATCTGGGAAGCAGTTTACCGAATAAAACCTGTTTTATGAATCAGATCTCTTCTGGGAAGCCAAGGAGCGCTCCATAACTGATTCATTCTTACTTGAAATCACCAATAGTGGACGTCCCACTAAAATCCATGAATTTTTCAATGAGTTTCGTGTTGATCAATCGCGCTGAAAATCAGCTGCTCTCGGCCCAGCGTTCAAGAGTTGAAAGTTGTAGAGGGATGGCGGCAGGTACGGGGCTTTCCGGAGTCCCTTGAGATGCGCATAGCTGGTGATTCCAACTAAAGATTAACCAGCTGTACTGTGTCTCGGCTTATCAGTGTAGATTGTATTCACTAAAGGATGAACTCCACCGAAGTTTCAAGCGGTCCATCTTGTGTCACAGCGTAGCGATACCATGTGACATTCGGTGAAGTAGAAAATTAACGCACCGGTTGGTTCATCCGCTCACCATTGGAACCACTTTTTCTCCATTGAAGATGTGGAAATCCGTATCCGCTTAGCTTGTCTGGCTGTTTCGGCAGGTTTGTACACGCCAGTGCAGTGTTATGGCATGTGGCATGTTTTCTGATCATGTGTAAGACAGCGCAAGGTTATGTGATCGCTGCTCCCATACCTTGTCATTGCATGACCTACGTCTGCAAGTGTATCTCATGGATGTGGTCCAGTGCACTCCCAGTCGTCCAGGATGTAGGCAGCTGCTTCTTGCTTGGATATCTTAAGCTTCGAGAAGATTTTCACGGAGCTTACGATCTTCTTCTGGACAACGGCAACCCAACGCAGAGACGCTTGCTTGTGCCCACAATGGTCATCATAGGGGAAGTTAGCGCAACGCTGCAGTTCGCCTTGGCCGAGTTGTGTGCTGGTGCGGCAGCCTCTAAGTGTGGGGAGACGGGATTTGGAGTATTACCAGAGACTACTTTCCTCACACCCAACCAACGAAGTTTCAGATGAGATAAAGTTGACTGGCCACCACCACTCAGGATTAGCGAGTGGGGGTCTGCTTGCCAAGCAGTAAAGAGCAGAGAGTAAGGTCGGTTCAGTCCTGTAGACACTAAATTTCGACACCGTTCATGTCACTTGAAGATGAAATATCTCTGGAGCAGACTGCAGTGTAGACCGTCTCGCCGAATCTGCTCGGTGGGACAAACTGGATTGCAAGTTCCTGTGAGCTGAGTAGTCAGACGGGTCCTCCATATTTGCATCCTTACTTATGTGAAAGCTTGTAGTGTGTGTAGAGTGCACAGCGTCTAATATTACTTGCATTGCACACATACGCGATGAAGATGTACAGCGTCTTTCAGATTCAAAACAAAATTCCACCCTTGGGAATGAAGAGAAACTTTTCCAGTTGTTGCAGATTTAAAAGCAATCAAAATTTCTGTGACCTTTCTATGAGATCCCAGGTAAATTTATCCGAAAGTAAGGACTATTCGCTTTGTGAAAACCTCTGGAACCGACGAAATCTACTGTTCAAGCGATTGACAAATGACAGCCAGCGACGATGCCAGTTGTTGACGAATCACGTTACAGATATGTTTGTTGGCCGTTGCAGCGTCTATTTGTGGGGATAAAAGACAGGTTCTGGGGTTTCGCTGGAGTTATATGTAAGTATTGGCGATGTACAGTCATGCCTACTGGATTCGGTATCATGAAAGTTACCTTTTGTCATTCGCCACAGTGCTTCCACTGCCTTCATACTGCGGCCTCAAAATCTTCGTGGATTTCGGTCGGTTCGTGCATGGATCCAGACATGTACTAAAGTCACCCATAAGCGCTTGTGTTTCAACATTTGAACCCTTAAAGTCTGCGTGTTGACCTACTTTTGACCTGTTCGCACTGCTTCAGAAGGCATTGTTCAGCGACCCACGGACCGGACGGTCACTGGTCAGAAGTGTGAGGAATTTCCTGCAACGTGAGGTGTTGGTCCGAAAGGTCACCAGCAGATTTATGGCGAAGCACACATGTTCAGCTTACTGTGGGAACGCGTTTCAGGTATGGAAGCGCCGGGGAAAGCAGTGTACGTGTGTGACTGACTGCAACCGTCGTTGTACTCCATGGACCCATTGGCGCACTGATTCTGTTTTTAGGGGAGAACCTGACAGCGTACCACGTCTAGCACTGCCCACACTTAGTTGTAGGTTTCTTCATGCTATTAGGCTAGTTCGGACTAGACTGAATTGTATCAGAACACGAGGGAGTTGAAGATTGCCGCATTCAGTGTGGGTATTGGAAATGAGCATTGTTGTCCTTTCATCCCGTAGTTCTTCTCCAAGGAAGAGGTTTGAAAGTGGGACAAATTCTGGCTGAAATCTTCACCTCATCCTTCGAAATTCGAGTGGACACCTGGATCAGGAATTTGATGGAGCCTAAAGGCATGTTCGACCCCAAAATTTAGAGGCAGAAAAGTTCTGTGTTCGGATCTCTGGTTAAGGCAGCGGATCACGAAAATAGATGTTTCAAGTACTCACTCCATCTTTCTAAAACCCCCTTTATGGTGAAAATTTCGGAACCGTTTTGACCCCTGTTGGATTTTGATGATCTGTCTTATCAAGGGAAATAATTTCCTAAAATTCCAGTTATTTTCGTCCCTCTTTTCCGAAATCAGTAGGTTTCATGGTCAAGACGTTCACTAATTTTCACTTGACGTCTGACACTCCAGTTAGTTGTGCTGCATTCTGAACCGGTGGGGTCATCGTACATGGAAAATCGAAATACTCCTGGGACACTCGCCCACGCTCATTCAGTACGCCGGCGATATCATTATTTGATCGCATCCTTCGGAAGTTCAAGCTGTTTTGAATAGCCTGCACGGTTCGATGTGCGCATCGTATCTGTAAAGTGTGGAGTGTTACTACAAGACTGGGTGGGATCAAATTTAAACATCATGCTTGTGAGTAAGCCAATCGATGTGATGGATAAGTTCGTGCCGCATAGGCTCAGATGGACTGGTGAAAGGTGAAATTACTTCCGGATTTATGGAAGCCAGGACCGCGTTTGGCAACTTCCAACACTTTTGGCGCCGGCGTGACGTCAGCTCGATTGTACAATGTCGCGATCCGACCTCTTGCTTTATAGATTAGAGATCTCCGCCAAGTATGAAAGATCTGTATTTGACCATAGATGCCTTCAAAGCGCTGCACGGGTCCGGCCGGAACATCAGACCACTAATGATGATGTGCCGCCGCTGGTTTTTTGAAAAGTTCGTTCTCCTTCGGCAGATCAGCTGGTCACACTCCACAGGTTGCACCGGTTAGGTCATGTACTTCGTCTGCCAGGGGACCGTCTGCTTCGTAGAGCTTCGTCGCCCACTATTGTATCGGGGGAAGACCACCGATGGGTGGTCAGTCCCTGGCTTGGAAACGAAGCATGAAAACCATTACCAGTCAACTCAGTCACGTTGGTAACTGCCATCTCTTCGGATGGGAACCTCGGGACGAGACACCAATGGTTAGTGACCCTGATAGATGTGTCTATCACAGTCAATGGCGGTGTTGTATCAAAGTTATCATATTCACTGCGTATCTCTCACTTCCTTCCATACTGGACAAACAGATCCGTTTGTCTTCAGTGCGCAGATGGGGCCATTGCATCGAACGCAGTGCTCTCATTCTCTTATTCTCCTTGTCCTCGGTAGATAAAGCTATAGCAGCTGCAACCACTGCAGTTCGGGACTCGGCTTGTGAACTGACGGTTGAATTGAATAGAGGAACGACTCCCGTTGGATACTTGACCAGAATCCACTTTAATGTTTCCAAATTAACCTGAGTCGGATTGTGATCGATACCATCGGTAACCAGTGGTGATTGGACAGTTAGCTCAATCACTGTGTTTGAATCTCGAGTTCTTATTCCTGATGGTCAAGATGGCCCAAGTGGTTATAGAGCGCGAATTTACTGAACAGAATGTCCGTGGTTCGAACCAAACCTCTGCCTCTCATCTTCCTCTGTCTAGGGTTAGGCAACCTGGCAGTATCCAAGCCCTCGTGCTTCCTCCCAGTGGCATGGCACCTGAGGGGTGTTACCGCTGATCGATTTTTTGTTTCTGATACACGGCATACATCAGTGTCAAGCAAATTCCGTATGAGAGAAAGAGTGGTTTGTGATCCTGCTTGCCTCAGGGTGCAAACATCAAGGGCAGTCAGGTAGATTGGGTGTCGAGGCTGGAAAATTGATTTCTAGTTACCTGAGTATATCAACGCCGGATGACGCGCATATGTTGCTGGCAAAATCGATGCAAGATTAACGGGGTTTTCAGTCCTAACGGATGGGTCCACAAAGAGAGGATTATTACTGAGGTGGAGGGAGGGGACAGAAAGAGTATGTAGAAGAGAAAGAACCAAGGGGTCAGGAGTCCTGCTTTTTCGTTGGGGGGTTGTGGGAAATTTATTGTTCGGTGTCTCCGAAGCATTGGTCGAGTGTGATGAGAAAATCGGATTGACAATACTGATGCGCCAGATGGTTTTGGGAAAAAGTAACTACGGTGGATGAGTTTCTCACGCTTCCTAGGTTACGCTGATTCTGAGAGAGTCGAGATTAGATGGAAGAGAATAGAAGGGTTTAGTGTATGCTTCAGTCGTCTAGTATCGACCGTACATGAGCTCAAGATGCAGTGACATGCTGACAGGTGGACATATATGACCTGTCAACGAAGTATGAAAACGTTAACCAGTAATCTCATTCGGGTCGACAACTGCTATCTGACTTAGTGTCTACTACGGGATGAGACCAACGGACAGGTACGTGTGTGTTACGCAACTGTTGACAATCCTGTATCAAACTGCTATTTTCGGCGAATAGCTCTCTCGCTCACTCCAATCGGGCAAGCTAGACAATTTAATGCTAACGGACTGTTTGGATTATCGCCTACAACACGCGGCTTGTCCATTTCTTCGGCAGACAGAACTGGTACCTGGAACCACCGTATTTTGGTGTACGAAGAGCTGATTGAGGGTATCCTTCGTCATCGTTATGTGACGACTAGGCGCCAGTGTTTATTACAGGTTGTTGGTGTTGAATGTGGATGAAGTGAGTGCTGGAATCAGTGTTGCCTGATTAGCGTTTATTTTAGAAGAATCACTTACCACGCCGGTGTTATGGTAGTCCGTCTGTAAGGGGGCTGATTGTACGGTACCACATTGCAACCGGTACTGTTTTCTGGATTGTGAACTTGTCCGTCTTAGGCAGGAGACACAAGACGACTTTGTTTCCGACCACCTATGTGTGTGAAATGTTGCTCACTTCCTACTGGGGGGGGGGCGAAACAGTTCTTACTGGCATTTGATCGTTTAATAGGCACTCGGTTGACAGTTTTGTGCAATACACCAGTCCACTGGCTCAGTTGTATGTTTCGACAACCCAAATACCGTTTTTATAGACAAGCCTTGTTAGTCTTATCTCGATAAAAAACTGGAAAAACACAGGTAGCCAGGTTATGGTACGCCGTTGAACCAAAGATTCTAGTGGAGTTGGATCATACCATTTTCTGGGTTGGGAATCTCGTACAATAGGTTGTTGGTACATTGGCCTCTTTAATCTACTCCGCTGAGTTTATTACCAACACCTTTCAACTTTCATCTTCTTGGTTATCGGAGACTGTGACAACCAGAGTTACCGTATGTACATGACTATTAGTTACGGCAGTGAAGCATCAGTGCCAACACTGATGTTGCTGTCTTTGATGATTGATGATGATGACTATTAGTTTAAAGATCATGACTTGTATAGGATTTCATTTTACTCCTTTCGGGGGCGGGTTAGCGTGCTCAGAGACCATATGTTTTGTAGTTTGATTTTGAATTTTGTAGGTGCAGATAAATCTCGATGGTTAATGAGGCCGGCTTACTGAATGACGCCTTCTTCTGTTCGCCTTCAAAGACCAGATTGATACTACCTGTATGGTCTAGATTGATGAAGTTCTTGTCCGGAACAAATTGTGGATCGAGGTTTAAAGACCAGTGTTTTTCTCATTAATTGGTCGATGATGTCGAAGCGAAAAGATGTGAATGCTTTTTGTAGAGAGACTTTTAAGTAGGCCCACCTACACGTATGCCAAGTGGCCTACTACAGACTGAAATAAGGCCAAAGTTTCCGGACAATTAGATAGATAATGCTCCTCTCAGATCTGTTGAAGTGGAATTCCTCAACCTCCTCCCGTCGAATACCATTGTTGCAGTCATTTACGCTCTGTGATTTCAGCTGCACCCCCACTAGGTATTCGTTTTCCCCAATCGGAATGACTAGGTCCTCTGATAGACCTGCTACTGTGGTTTGGTAAAATGAACGAAGTCACTTGTGGCTGACTGTTTACCCCTGATTGATGCACCCCAAAAAGCACCGTTTTACTTTAGCTTCTGACTACCTTCCAGGCAAATCGAGACCCTCTGGAATTCCAAAAGGACCACCCGACTGGTTGAACCGTTGCCTCGGCGTCGTGAATAAATCTCAATCCTTGAATAGCGTACAAGGTTTTACTCCACATCTGTTATGAGTTCAGGTTCGTCGCCACGCACGCCGAATGATTTGGAGAGTGACATAGACTTCTCCGTATATTCTCTGAGCAGTGACCTGGACCTTGATTTTGGATTTCGAGGCACAGCAAAGCCGGTCGCACCGACGGATAGTGCGGTCAAGCTCCAAGGTCAGTTTCTTTCGATTAGGCTGAGCTAGTGAATGCGCCCCCTTCTATCATTCAAGCTTTGGGTTTTGGATAAATTTCGGGAGTATTTCGTTTTTGTTATTTTCCGTTATTCCGCTAAAATCATGACCGATCCACGCGTGGTTTGAAGCACAAAAGATTATTCTTGTTTTCAGGTCAGATTCCTGAAACTAATCCCAGAACGCCCGGAACCTACTGAACCCTAAAACTTTGGGTTTTGGATAAATTTCGGGAGTATTTCGTTTTTGTTATTTTCCGTTATTCCGCTAAAATCATGACCGATCCACGCGTGGTTTGAAGCACAAAAGATTATTCTTGTTTTCAGGTCAGATTCCTGAAACTAATCCCAGAACGCCCGGAACCTACTGAGACCCTAAAACTACACCAAAATCTCAATAGAAAAGCCGGCAAGCATCCAGACCAGTAAATCAATCAATTCAATCAATTCAGCAAACCCGATGAGTGTTCAGGCACGCCACAGGAGCACGATCGAATATGATCAGCTTTCAGGCATTTCATAGAAGCACGATCGATGTTGATGGGCGTTCACTAAACGCCTATCAGACAGCCTGGATCAATATCAATAAGTGCTCTTTAAATAGCGTGGGCCCTCGCTTGTTGCGATGAAACTGTTGTATTCCTTCTGGGTTTTAAATGTATACTTATTTCTAATCGCTTGGTTGCATGACGTTTTACACCCAGCTAGCGGTTTCCTATACGAATTGGTCTGCTCTAAGGTCCGTTCACTTTGTTTACTAAAAGTATTCGACATACGTGTGCATTTAGATCTTGTAGTTTTATCTCGTCAGTACATCATGTCTCACACGTCAAGTCTCGCTTGTCATCGTATACAGCGGAAGATTATCTCCCACTCTCCTCTCGTCAATGGTAGGAATACGCTGTTGAAGCGGACACTGTTCTTTCCAGTTTTCATAATCGGTGGTCAGTCTCCACACATGTTTTGTTTTCTTCTACGATGATGGTAACTGTTTTGGAATAAAGCGTCATCTCCACATACATTGAGGTTGATGTACCTCAAAAACAGCCTTGTGGTATTTGGACACACCAGAAATTAAAATGGCTCGGAAATCAAGGCGCGAACTACTGACCGAGATGCTGTTGTTTCAAACCTACCTTTGCTTTTCTTACGTGTGTGAAAGTCGAAATTAGTTCTGTTCACTCTTGGGAAGTAGGGGATTTTGGAACTTATTCAGCTCACCAAAAACGTTGAACAACATTGTCAGCGATTGTCCCGTACATAACTATCTCCACAAATTACTCATGATTCTTGAAAGAAACTAGCGTATGGAAACACTGTATAACATGTACACGTCTTGTAGCTGATGTGGATGATAACAGTGATTTGTCTAATTAATGAACCGAGCTTTTTTCTCATTTCCTAACCAAGGCCATTCAAACACCGCTGTACTTTCGCCTCATACCTAAATAAAACCACAGGATGGTGGCAGCAGAAACTTACTGATTTCGAGCAGATCTTACACGACAGAATAGTAGTATAATATGAAATTATGATGATGAGAAACAGACATACGAGATACGGTTGATTTTCGTGAACCTACTTCCATATCTTTGTTTGCAGTTGCAGCTAGTTAGAGCCACTATGGGTTGCTACCATTGGAATGGTGTTAGAGTGGGTTTTCATCTTTCTTATTTGTGAGTATCCATTAGTATACAGCGATTTAAATGTCTTTTTGTCCCGGTATTTCGAACCGAAGCACTTACGAGACCTGACAGTCCCCGTCGTGGAAGCGTAGGAACTTGAGGCTTGTACAGTTCACCACCCACTACCGACTTTGAAGTCCGCGGAAATCGGTTTGCCATGTTAGACTCATAGGCCAGACTACTACAGCCACGTGTTGGTCGCCCCAGTTGTAATCACAGTCATTTACAGTGTCAAGCCAGACAACTTTTAGAACCATTGTGATATCAGGGATTTTGTATTTGAATGAAATAAAATTCCTAACTCTAAATACCGTACTGGTCCACTTGGTCACAAGTGAGACCACCCGGTTTTCATGATCGCCTAAACAGTTGACTACTTGGTCGAAGACAGGTCGAACGGCTAAGCCGCAAGGTCTGAGTACTCGTTATAAGTTACCTGAATCTGTGATTGGTTTTGAGGAACAATGATTGCGCTTAGTTGCGTCGACATGACAGAGGGGATATGGTTGGATGTACATGGCCTGAAAGTGGCTCTAAGGTTGTTCTCGGGGTCATGGATTGTTGCGTAGCTAGTTAACTTGAACTCCTTTGAACTTGGAGTGGTGTACGGCTATTATTCTGACTGGAGTTTTATCTCTGTTAGGCGGAATTCAGGACCTAAGCCGCTTTACCGATCGAAGTTAAGTGCTGCTACGGCCAAGAAATCTATGCCGCATGTGACTGGCCAGAAAATCCGGCCGTTTGCCGGTCCAACTCTGATTGACCGAAAGTGTGTTCAACAGCCAGTCGTGATCCACCAAATGCCGGTCGCCAATGGAACATTCGGAAGGTGTCGTAATTTTTGAAATGTCGCCGTATACACTGTACGTGTGTTTTCGAACTGGTTTTGGGCATAAATACACTTTATGCACCTTTGGTGGTTCGCTAGCCTGAAAGTTTCAGACCGAGAACTAGGCTGACGCATTACCGTTATTAAAATGTCAGATGCGGTTAGGGGGGCGGGTTTGTTGTTTTAGATATGACCTTGTCAATGAATCGGCTTTCGTTGGTCTCATCGCTTTTACAGCCATTAACTCAAGTAAGCATCGCTCAACTCTGCGGCAGTTCTTCAGGGAGCCTGCTTGTGTGTGGGTCCTAGATCTCAACAGCAAAATTTGGAGCTGCATAAACTGCTCGTTTTAATGAAGGTTTCGCTGGTAGGAGCAACCATATCACTAGCCAGTTACCATAGCAACAGCCTAATCCGGATTTCCAATCGAAGCAGGTTCGACAGAAAGAAGAGCAGTACGTTTGCCGAAGCTAACTCAACTTTTTTGTCTTATTTAACCTATCCATAGGTGATCGTTTCTGGTCAAGAACGAGAATCTAAATGTTCTGCTATTTTCAGGCTTAATTATATAAAGTCGCTGACCACTGTTACGCGTCCACCGATGATGATGAAGATACGATGTGTTGTTATACAAGTGCCGTGTCCACTGTAGATTCTTCCACCAACGATGATAATTGGACTGAACATAGTGAAATACACTTATTTGCAGACCAATTTGCAGAAGACTCACCTGGAACCCAGCTGAATCTCTCGTTCATGATGTTTTTAAGCAACTAAATGTGCTACACCAAGCCGCCTCATGTTTCGGTTGGTAAAATATTCGAGATATCGCCATGCATTTATGGACGCAACACACTACTCATAAGGCTGCTAAAAACTTTTCGACGGCCCACGACCAGTTTCACCCTTTTTGGGGCTCTCCGAGTTTCCGTCAACCTTATGTTCTAATTGAATCCAAATTGCACGGAAGTATGAAATACACCTCACTTGAAAACCAACTTGGTTTTGCGGGAGACTTACCTGGAACCCAGCTGAATCTTTCGTTTGTGATGCTTTTAATCAACTGAATGTGCTGCACCAGGTCGTGTCATGTTTCAGTTGATCAGGACTGGCTTCTCTTCGGAGGGTCTCTCGACGTAAAACCAGATAACGTATAGGCTTCATTTATCTTCATTATTGCCGTTCTCTTGGTTGAAGAACACGAAGAGTAGCGTCTATGTTTTTGAGAGGTTTTATCCTTTCTAGGTAAACCTTTCCCTGTCTGCATATCACACTCCGTAAGAAGTAGGTTTGTTTGTCATTCTTCGGATTGTGCGCATGGACTTTCACTCATTGTTTCTCAGCGCTCTGTTGAGTCAGCGGAATAGTCTAGTTTTCGGGTGATCTGATATTGTTGACCCGTCCTACTCATTCTCACACACAGTAATGACAGTTGTGAACGTAGCTTTTGTGTAGACATAACGGTCGCTTAGCTGTAACGCCATTTTTGCTCATAGCTGCCATGCCACCTGAGAGAAACATGAGGGCAGAGACATTGCCAGGTTGGCGAAGCATAAACAGAAGCAATCTAGGTGCCGAGGTTAGGTTCGAATTACAGGCTGCTCGAGGTAACCCAATGGTTAAGGTGCCAACTTATCAATCTAAAGGTTGGTGGTTCGAACCCAACCGCAACCTCTCAACCAGTCCTGTCTGGCTTGGGCACTCTGGCATTATCTCAGCCCTCGAGCCCTCTTCGGGTTGCATGGAAGCTAAACGGCGAAAGTGTGTCACAGCTGAATGACTGATTGGTCAGTAAATGCGCATCTTCACCACTTGGCTATCTTGGGCTATCTCGAGGTCGACCATTGGAGTTCACACAAGGCTAGTGACTCTTTGTTTGGACTGTGTTCCCCTTCACCTTTCAGTTGGATGGTACGATGGGCAAGTTTTTTCTGCGTAATAGACCTTAGGTGATGGTTGTCTGTTTCATGTTTTATTCTCCCGTGATCGTTGCAGTCCCAGATGGACGAGTTGTGGAGTCGTTGCTCGTGCTCACAGCCAAATCAATCGCTTCGCTTTTCCCGTTCGAAGTTGTGGAGTCCAGTCCTTTGCTCATCCCCGAAGAGTTGCAACGGTTAATTGCTTTTTACAGCTTTCCTACTGACGAAGACGATATCTGGCTCTATTCCTGTCTCAGCAGTGGTGGTTCCTATGAATTCGATCAAGGTGAAGCGCTTTGGGCGGACAAGGCTGTAAAGGAATGTGTACAGATTGGTGAGTTGTTGAAATGCTCCTGACGCTATTTACTCAATGTTTCTCTTCCCAACGGTACTGAACAAGTTTGCAAAGGTCTTAGTAATGTCCGTAAACACTTGTTTCCCTGGGTTTTGAAACTCTTTATGTCACACTCCCACCATGGTTCCCTTTATACGGGATACCTCACAGCTTGTTCCTATCCGTTCGCCGTGTGAAATAGCGATTGTTCCTTATCTTGATCATAGATTTGCTCCTTCAAGTTCGCTGGGTACATTGAACGTCCAAAACAAGTTGGAAAACCACCCACAATAGAACATACTTGAGGTGTATGTAGCGGTAGCATTTCGCGTAACACTGTGTGAACCGCAACGTCTGTTGTTTACGTGAATGCTAAATTCGTGTGCTGCGTAGGTTTATTAGGCCCCTCGTATCTTGTGACTGGGATTCGATTGGTGTGTGAGAGCATGATCTATGTTCAATTCAAGTCAGATAAAAAAGAGACTGACGCATCCGAAGGTGAGTCCTGAGCGTACACACTAATACCAGAGTGTAACGAAGGAGAATGGAAATCTCATTTTGCGTAAAGTCGGAAGTGGTAACTTCCGACTGTCCATCTGAAACGTACTGCTAACCGAGCATTGGTCTACGATAGGCACAAAGCAGAGTTACAAAAGGTTGTAGTAGGGCCAAAAGTGAATTTGAATGTTGGTCGAGTGTTAGAAGTTGGAAGTTAGAAAAAGATTGAGAGGGAGTTGTTAGGCATCCAATAGGGTTCACAGATCTGAAATGTGCTTCAGGCGTCACGCAGTTAGACAAAGGACTTCTTCGTGTAGTCTGGGGAATACAACTTAGGAGAGGGATCATTGAGTGGCTGTGTGGTCACTGCAGCATTCTGAATTTATAAGTCCAAAACGCTAGTCTTTGGATTTTGATGAAGGTGAACTCAGCACCCGGGAGTTACTTGAGGTGATTAGTCCCAATTACTTTGCTGTCTAGGATTTTCAAATAAAAACCTTGGTAAAGATGAGAGGATAAAGGTTACTGATTCAGTTGTCTTCTAGCCTTCTTTAATGGAAGGAGAATCCTAAGTCATAGCAAGTCAGGACCCTGAGTGACAGTAGAAGTCTCTGAAGACACCCCGTGAGTACATTAAGTCCTGTCTGCAACCAAGAACTGCATCGTCGGCATGTTTGCGGCGCATTACCGGAAATCCGCACTCTACTAACATGCAAAATAAAAACAAAAATCGTTCAGCTGTAACACCTTTTCGGTGCCTAGCTGCTATGCCACCCGAAGGAAGCATGAGGACTGGGATACTGCCAGGTTACCCGAACCAAGACTAGGGAAGTCGAGATGCAGAGGTCGGATTAGAATCACAGACCTTCCGGTCAGTAAATTCGCACTCTAGCCACTGAGCTGTCTCGCCCCCATGCAAGGACAAGGACGGAGAAGGTCCCGTCAAAAACATCTACACGTGCTTGGGGAGGTGTGACAGCTGAGTGCCAGTAAATTTGACGGGCGATGACTGTGAAATGACTGCGAAAAGCCGGACGAAACCTACTTCCCCACCAACTTCCGAGACACTATATCGGTGCTGTCAGAAGTATTCAGACGTACTTCAGGAAAAACGTCCGAATCACTTTCTTATCGAAATCAAGTGAAGCAGCGTCTTAAGAGAGCATCGGCCTCCGGATACGATCTAAAATGGGTCAGTTGCCTGGAGTCTTCAATCAACAGAACGGTACTTGTTTAATCTAAAAGCAGTCTAAAACAGTTTCAAATTTACAGTTGTGCAGCCAGTACGTTGGTACTGGCGTAATGATTTCCCCTTCAACAATCAGCAATTTTTCCAACAGCGAGGCAATGGTTGAACTGCAGGTTGAAAACGCAACCTGGGTGGCAGGAAATCTGGGATACTCGCTTTTCCGGCCTTGACTATTTGCTTGTACTCAGCATCACTTGTGATGTTGACAGTATTGTTAGGCTCTTCGAAGCAAGCGGAGGTGGTGAATCGTTAAGCAAACAATCTTCAGGAACTAGAGATAGGTCAGTGGTTAAGGCGCGAATTTACTGACCGGAAGGCCCGTTTTTCAAATCCGTCCTAGGCACCTCGACTGTTTCTGTCTTGGTTTTGGCAAACTGGAAGCATCTCACCTCTCATTCTTTGGAGGGGTTACATGGCAGATAAGCACCGAAAGACTGTTGCAGCTTAATGATTTCAATTTCGATTTCAGAACTGTCATCACACAGCTGCTTCAAAGCACTCAGCATCTCGCGACATTGTTGCGAAGACTCATTTGGACGTACTTTTCATTCAGGCGGTTGGTTTCGCTTTGAATCTGTCTCGTTAGTTCATTAGCCTTTTGATTTCCCTTCTGGTGAACTCTTGTTCTCCAAGGTGCCCTTATTTAGAGGACAGCCTGTATCATAACAGAAACTAAGATGACAGGTCAAATGTTCACAATATAAGAAGGATTGTTATTATGGGAAATTCGGTGACTGAAAGTGTATCTCAGTCGGTTGGTGTTGTCTTCGCTTCCCCGCGGTTTTTGTTTTTGAATGAAGCTGCTGAATACACGACGCCGAAATTCAGTGGATAGGTCGGTCAAGGGGGCGCACCTGTGTGCGGAGAAGTACTGTTGAATATTGGGAAAGTTTACGATATTAGCGAACATAATGGACATGAGAAAGAAATGAATAAACTGTTTGAGATCACTAGCAAGGATACAAAAAGGCTGTGTCAAGTAAGGAATCAGAGGAAAAATCAGCAAATGAAGGAAAGTCAGATGAAATGGTGATAGAAGCAGCAGTAAGTTCGCAAAGTGGAGAGACTGATCACCTCTTAAGGATCCAGGTTTGTGCTGCAGAACCGGATACCCAGTGTTTTTTAAGAGCGGGTATACAGAACACGCAGGGAGCCACACCAATTGTCCTGTATACGTGGTAATGCCACCAGAAGCCTACAGAGTGGTCATTCCAAAGCTGCATAATTTCATTGTCACTGGCATCATGCAGCCAGCCTTCTTGTACCGGTGCAATACCAGTGCGCGTATGTTTTCTTTGATCAGATAGTTCACCCGTGTTTGCCACCCGTTTATCCAANGAAGGAAAGTCAGATGAAATGGTGATAGAAGCAGCAGTAAGTTCGCAAAGTGGAGAGACTGATCACCTCTTAAGGATCCAGGTTTGTGCTGCAGAACCGGATACCCAGTGTTTTTTAAGAGCGGTTATACAGAACACGCAGGGAGCCACACCAATTGTCCTGTATACGTGGTAATGCCACCAGAAGCCTACAGAGTGGTCATTCCAAAGCTGCATAATTTCATTGTCACTGGCATCATGCAGCCAGCCTTCTTGTACCGGTGCAATACCAGTGCGCGTATGTTTTCTTTGATCAGATAGTTCACCCGTGTTTGCCACCCGTTTATCCAAACAGCAAATGGCCACTACCGGAACTCGTTGATGGCAATTACATTCTGTTGATACTTTTCGGCCTGGTTGATACCAGCCAACCGGTTCCATCAAAATGCGTCAAGTAAGCTTGTTTGTATTAGGTTTCACCCCCAAAGGAGCGAAAATCTAAAAGGATTTCAGCAATTTACCGCTGTTTGTGGCGTGATGTTGATGACAAATGATTGAAATACGGTTCAAGTAGGGTAGGAATCCACTGTTGTTTGGGGAATGAATTTCGTTAGCTAGGCCAATTTCAAGGACCTCTCCCGCCACTGAGGTGGAAAAAAAGAGCGCCGGGATATTTCCCCAAATCACTATTCATAAATTTCGTGAAAACTTGGACCACCCTTTTCGCCTTTTTTCGGGCTCGTCATGTGGACCTAGTACCCGAACTTCCGTCCATATTATTTTGCATTTTAACACCGAATTAGGGGTATCTGACGAGAGACATTCATTTTTAAGTTAAGTTACTGTTTACGAGAGATCTAAGTGAATATGTTTGATAGTATTCTTACGACCTTTGCACAACATGTTCGGATGAAGAACACGACAACTGAGAGATTAAGTTTAGGTTCATTTGACTCTCCCGGTAACACCGCCTCAGTTTGCAAATTCACACTTATTAAAAAGTAAAGAAGGCTATTCATCCCCACATGCATGGTGGTCTAATACGAAACAGCACTGATGGAACCATGCCAACCTGATGTTCAAGGGCCTTCACCAACTTCACAATTAGCATTTAGTGTTAACATCACTGAGTGGTTTTATCCAGTTATGCACACTGAAGCACACTGGGGCTGTAAATGGAACCAGATGTTATTGTTCGTGATGAACGATTTATTTTTTATAGCGTGGTTTTCCGGTTTATTACAAGTTAATATTCTTTTCGAGTGGTGAAGGCGAGATTTGACATGGTTTTTCTTCTTGTAGTGTCTTGAGGACACCTATAAACCGCAAATAAAGGTAGAACAATGTAACCTCAAATCCGGATTTTCATTCCTTCTTTTATCATTGGTTGGTGGTTTTCTGCAGCCTCTAGAAAAAAATCCGACCGTCTAACTCAAGAACTTGGAAGACCTAGTACGTCAGGTTAGATACTTCTACTCCTCCCCGGAGAGCGCATGCTACCCGCTACTTCGTTGAAATTCCCCGTGAAAGTCAGGAAACAATTTCCTACAGTCTTATTAATTATCTACTACTTTACGAAGAGTTGTCAAAGATCTGACGGTCATTGTTGATGGGTTTCACCGCCGTTCGTTAAATGATTGCGGAAACAAACGAAAATAGTTCGACGGATAATGTGATTTTGGAAATGATATTTATTTAATATACGGCTTTCAACCACTTTGTACAAACAATGTAAAGCTGTTCCACAAAGCTATTTTGAATAGTACTCATACCGTATGATGATTCCACATTTGAGTGCTCTGGCGTGACCAAAGGAAGACCAACTTTCAGTATGACTCAGTACTTGTAGTTAACCTTGGAATTTGATAAAAATTCTCTTGAATATGACTTTCATGTTAGTGTAGATCGGATTCTGACGTTATTTTTTGGAAAAAGAACTTTGGAAAGCATCTTGTTCCGAGCATATCTGGCCGATTCACATGAAACATGTTTTCGCTGCCATCCATGATTGCCCTCATGCTCTGTTGGTGTGACTAAGCTGATACATGGCTCCTGGCTGGAAAAAAACTAGCCACTCATTAGGCCTGTCATTGTTACCCAACTATTCCCGTTCTCACACATGTTTGCAAACAAGCGACTCTTTTATACTGGGGAAGCACACTCATTTTGACATTAATTTGGTGGTAACAGCTAAATATATTGTGTTATTATGCCGGCGAATGTGCTGCCCAACCTTGTGCATAGTTCACTTGAAGAAAATATACCGCGAATTCTCGAATATCGTACCAGCTGAAGCAAGAGGTGACTTTTTTATCAACACATTCAGTTGAGTAACGGCATCAGCGTGAGATTCAGTCTGGATTCGGTTGAGTCTCCTCGTAAAACCCAATGGGTGTGCAAATGAGTGTATTTCGCGAACTAATTTGTTTATTTTCCTATTGCTCAATGAGATGGCTCGGTGGTTAGAGCGCGAAGTTACTGACCGGAAGTTCTGCGGTTCGAACCCGACATTTGCCTCTCGACTTTCCCTGGGCAACCTGGCAGCATCCCAGCCCTCCTGCTTCCTTCTGATGGCATGGCAGCCGGGCACCGGAAGGTTGTCACAGCTGAACGAAAAAAAACTTAACGAATACACTAACATTCATGGGAAAATGAATACGATAAACTGAATCCCTTGTTTACAATATTCTTCAACAGAATGTGCTGCACAATGATCGACTCATGTTTCAATTGGTGCGGTTCAGTTGAGTCTCTCGTTAAGAAAAATCTGGTGAAACCAGTCTTGGGTTATCCAAGGGTTTTCAGCAGCTCTATGAGTAGTTTCCTTTAACGGAGGTCAATGAGCATCAATAGTTATCCTCTCTTGACTGGTGTCACTCAGACTGGGGGTTTTGCCTTCGGTTTCATTAGATGTCATCTCATCCCGCTTTCGTTCTAAAAGCCTTGGTTTGCTTTGGTTGTTATCACCAATTTTAAACACTTATGTATCGCTTTTTTCATTTGCACTGCCTCTTTTCAGGTTTTCATTTGAGCGCCAAGGTTCTGACCAGTCTACACATTGCGCTCCCTCATGTTAGTCATGCGAACGAAGATGAGCGGGAAACGGGCACCAACCCTCCTGCGTCGTCAGCAAACTTTGAACCCTTTCACCTTAACTGGGATCCTCCACCGAATTCGAATCGTCCACAACTCGAGGCGAATTTGTCCGGCAACACTGTCAGACCAACTGAACAGCTCCATCATCCAGGTGTCAATATTGAACCCGGCTATCCAGCCCATCGGGTTTCGCTCACTTTTGATAGAGGGCGTATTACTTCCTGCTCTTGCACTTGCACCTTCGATGTTGAGGATGGATGTGCTAACTTCACACCCCACCGAGATGTTCTCGAAGAAAGAGGTGGACATGATTCCTTTCCCGATGCGGGTCCTCCCACTCGTACGCGAACCCAACCCTCCAATAGCTTCTCCTACCAACCAATGTTTGCTGCTGATTCTGCTGAGTCAGATCGAGGGCGAGGCATCATTATGGGTTCGTTTAACAACAACGCTAGCAGCCATCAAAGCACAACTGGCAGTCGACCCTTAAACCCAGTACGGTTTGGCTTAGTTCGTCCAGGTTTGCGTTCCCACCAAACTACGGTGTATCAACAGCATCCTCGGATCAATGTTAGTGTTCAGCGATCAAACTTAACCGGTGAACCATCGACCACCAATCCGTTTCGCAGTTTAGCCTTTCCGTCTGGTTGCAGTCCGCCGTCTAGTGCTTGGTGTTCACATGTCGTCGCTACTTGTCTCATGCGGATCCGACAGCCCGATAAAGTGTTACTGCGTGCTCCCATCTCCGAATCCCTTTCGAAACTTAGTAAAGAGGACTTGCAGAAATTCGCACAGAATTTGATTTGTCACGTTGGACCTAAAAAGGTTAGTCCTGTTTAAACCTAACTACCCCCGCCCCACCGGTCTCATCCTTCGTCTTACGTAGGTGACGGAATTTCGCGCTTTTGCACTCAGCCAGACTTATTCGATGCATTTTGTGCCACATTTTGACTACTAACTAACCGAACTTCAGTAGTTGTATCGGTAAGTAAAGTTACCCATAGGACCGTTGCCAATTTCCCTCGGAACGCTTTTGTGATACAGACAGCGGTCTATCGTCTATGTGAACTAAGAAATCCGAACCCGCGAGCTGAGGTGCAGATCCACTCGCGATTCGTTTAGGTTAGGCGGTTTGACCCTACACCCTCACCGCATTGGCTGTCAACCGTCGTCCTTCAGATGGACCCACTGAGAAATTGTCCGTTTTAACAGTCCTGCTTTTGGAAGTGCCGTTAACTCCGGGGTTCACAATACCTTATATAGCCAGCATTCTTCTGTGAGTTGGCTTATGTTTTGGATTGATTTTCCTGTTTTGTCACTGAGTTGCAAGACATGAATATAGCTATTATCATTTTGCTCATTCCTATGATAGACGAGAATCGGTCGAAGAACAAGCAGTAAGGTGTCATTGCTGTTTGCGTAAATTAATGTTTAACTATGGTAGGTTTGTCAGAACCTTATCCTCTATTTTATCAAACCGTTGCTGACTGCATATGCATCTTTCTACGATACTTCAGATTTTACCTGCCGCTCAGAGGATTTTAGATCAGCTCTTGGCTGCCACCGATAATCCAATGAAGAGCTCCGTCGGCGCACCGGGTAAGTTTCCAAACAATCGATTACGACAGGTTTTAGGTTACGTTTATTCGTAAATTGGGTAAATTGCTCAACAGTGGTATACACAATAGCACTATGTCAATCAACTACAGTGTATAAAATTTCGCAACCTTCATTACTACCATTCAGAATTCTTGTCCGTTTTATTCAAACACCCATCTGTGCCTAATTGAAGGAATACATTACTCATTCATGTTAGTAATGGTTAGCCTTTTTTTGAAGTTTTCGCTTCAAAGTCTTAATTCCCTCCTGGTTAGTGTATGTCCCCCTTTTTTCCGTTCAACTCAGACCCTACTGCCGGCGGGGCTGTCGGAGATGCGGCCGCGTGGTGTTTCGATGGGGCTGTACTGGAAGAGAAGCTTCGACTTGCACTGCGTCGTTTTTGGGTGTCCACGCCAAGTGTCATTTACAGTGACATCGGGTCGCTTAATTCCAGTTCACCTCCAGATGTGGAGAATTTCCACTCCGTTCTCCACTCGCTCCGGGGCAACGATCCTGGTGGTGTTTGGGACCTGCTGTCCATTATTGGGGACATGATGCGCCGACAAGATAACAACGGCGTGTTACTGTTAGAAATTGTCACACGTTGCATTATTGACATGCAAGAGGTGAGTTGCTCCACATCATCTTCATAGTTTTGCCGAACGTTCAGTGACTTTTGCCCGTGCTTGTTTGGATGTTTCGCCCTGTCTATTTTCAAGGTAATCTATACAGGGATTAGTGTTTTCACTGCACTGGTAATCATTGCGAATATGGGAAGGCATGCCTGTTCATCCTACCGGGTGAATTTTCCTGTTTTTTTCGCTGATGTTTCCGTCTCACGCTGACACACTGAGGTGAATGTCATTCGGTCCGTGGCTTATCTGTTCTCAGTCAGCTTTGCATCCGGTGTTTCATGACACAACCATTCTGTATTGTGCCTTGTTTGAGTAAAACAAACACAACACGTAACTTCTTGCCATGTGAGGATTCAGTCTCAGGTATAGAGAAGAAAGGACCATGGATTGTGTAAGAGTATCCCTAATATAGTTCAACTTGCTTACCATTGAATTGCAGAAAACCTCGGTTTCTGATAACGATACAAGTGAAGTCATGGTCTACTGATCCAATAACAATTTTCTAAAAATATCGTATATAGTAGATGTGAACCAGAATTCGGTGGTAATATTCACACCCATCTTCGGAGCAAGGCGACCGGTACACTAACGGCGCGATTGAGGTTTTTCCCAGCCCTGTCAAATACGAATTAAACCTTGTTCTACGGCCCCGTAGACTGTGAGCCACTTGGTTTGCGCACCTGCTCCACAAGTCAAATTAATGAGCCAAACGCTAATTTATCTGAGATCCTCTTTCGGCGACTAATTAGCATTGTATCATGTCCCCGTAACTGGTGGTCCTGTCGTAGTGTGATAGATGCACCGTCATCAATTCAATATTTAATGACCTCATCGATAGTGATGACCTAGCTGAATGGCAAAAATATTTGTACCTAGTCAGCTGATCATGAGTATCATTTCAGACTGTGTACGTGACCGTGACCCTTGACCGAAACGTTTCAGTGACAATTCTTTCCAACTTGTTACACTTTATGTTTGCGGGCAGCTGACACTACTGTTCGAGGAAATACCATCACCAAACTTATTGGAGCCTTATGTATTTTGCCATACAAGCCTCTGGGTTGGGTTTCCGACTCTTCCACCTACCACAAAAACATCGTTGTACGCAAAAAAAACCCAGAATAATTGACCCCTCACACATTCAAAACTTCACTTTGCAACACTGATGATTCGGACAGTGACGTTCACTCAGTCCACCATCCGTTCTTTTCCTCACACAGGAATTTCCGGTAACTGTGATACCGCTTGTAGCTAGTTCCCAGGTTACTCTGTCCACCAATGCTTCCGTTTTACGACTGAGCTTTTTGCTTACACCCATTTTTCCTTTCCCCCTCCACACTGACTTAGCATACCCGCCCGACTTCTAGTTTATGTGGCCCAAATGCAGTCTTTGGAAAGCTAACAGTCTCCCGATGGAGGCAGTGTACTTCAGATTTTCTCTTTATTGAGTGCTAATTGGAAAGTTGTCTTACTCTCAGACATAAGGGGCGAATTACACATTGTTGGCGATTCCAACTCACACAGTACTGACTGGCTTACTTGCTCGGCTCACACCTACCACCAGGCCTTGAAACAATTTTTTTGCAAGCACGAACTCATCCCCATCCGTATCTCTCCAAATTCGGATTTCGGACCATGAGAGCGACTCAGCAGCCTCAATTTGTTCCAAATTACTCATGTCGGCTCTTCCTTAACAGTTCTACAACGCCCATCTTTATTGCTTTAGAGCTTTCGCTAACTTAGATTCCCTCCGTCTGTTTTTTGCTTTCTGTTTGTGTTCCCATTGATGCTTCAACATACGTTGGTGGTATTACCAATGCTTTTTTATGGTGCTATGCTGCAGTTTTTCCCTCACTTCTTCAAGCCGGACAAATCTTCCTCTTCTGAATGGTTTACTCCTGTCTTTATCTGCGCAGTGCGGACAGAGAACCGATTGCATGCACCCCTCTCCTAGCACTCGTTCCGTTTAGTTACTTGATCGAGGCTCCTACTCCATCGCCGTCGAAGAGGTCAGAGATGCGTTTGTTAGTTGCAGAGGTGATCAACTGTCTAGTGCATCCGCTGTGGGTCGACCCTTCTGAAGTCTTGTAAGAGCTGCATATGGGTCGTAATTCCTCCTATACCTGATTCCAAATGATACGTTAAGTCCCTGCCACCTGGAAAAGCTGGATTTTTCGCCCAGCCTTTCGTCTGTAATCCAACCGAGTCTCTTCGGGAGATGTTCTACTAGTCAACCCTCACTCGTTTGTCTTTACCCAAAACTGCCTCTAAGAACGCTCGCCGTCCCCGGAATTTCTTCCTACCCAAAAACATGAGATTCGCCGCACCCAGGAATGTGATAGTGGCGTGTAAGGTGAAGCTCTTCCCACCTAGTTTTCTCTTTGTAACCAAATTCGACGGAATTCGTGCATTTTATTTTCAAACTCTTTCCTACCATCACATTGTAGCCTCCCCTTCGTTACTAATACAAGTGGTACTGCAAGTGCTTTGAATTATCGCTTCTGTCCCATCTGAGTCATTCACTTGTTTGACTTGCTTCTTCACTTCCATTCATCCTTACCGTCCGTTATGACGCCCTCCCCCCTTTATTCACATCTGAAATACCCCCACTATATTTTCCAAGTCTTTTACAGTCCACTCGTTTGGGACACGAGCTGTCGTGACCGTCAAAATGATCGTGCTTGGCACAGGGTGGTGACCACTGATTTAATCTTTTGATGAACTGTCGAATGCAGTTGCAGCTGGTTAAGCACATCGGTGTACAGCTGATTTGAACCCGAGTCAATTGAACGAATATGGTTTGTATAGCATATGCATCCCTTCCCGGTCGTGTTCGGTTTTAGAGGAGAAGGGCGAGACTGTAACTGTCAAAGGACGTTCCAATCGCTTATCCGTCAACTAAGTTTTGTATTCTTCGATCACATGTGTTGTAGAAGCACATTCAGTAGTGGTATCCCATATTACTTTGTCTCTCACTCTATCCGAAGTGACTAAAACTGAACATTTACTAACCACGCTGGGTTTCAAGGACTTTCTTTGTAATCCTCTGGATTCTGAGCTATTTTCACCCATTTTTTCATTACAGCTGATGTTTTGGTGGTATCTGGTTCAGCTGAAGCCTTGCGTCCTTCCTAAAGGCATACCAATTTGTCAGAAACAAACCCAGTACGCGGCTCTGTGGCTTTGTGAACAGGTAGTTCAGCTTTGGCGCCTCGCGTGTTTGAATCCGGAACTACGTCCACAGACGACTGGTCATTTGGCCGGCCGCTTCCCGTCCGGATCTAGTGTGATTTCCGTGTGTAGCAGTAAAGACACAAACGCATCGACATCGGGGCCAGTAGGCTGCTGGCTACTACAACAGCTTAATAGAAGGTTGAGAGCTTTCCATATATTCGCATTGGAACAAGCTGGTGTCCGAATAGCCCAAGAACGAGATCCACAAACAAGTCAGAAGGGCGAAGATCCGACAGAAGCAACTACATCAACACAAGCCAAAAACGTGCAGGAGGAGTACCATCGATTTATCGGATTTAAGCCTGCACTTGCAGCCTGCAGGTGAGCTTATTAATGAACTGAAACTATTAGATAAATATTTACTGTGCGCTTGTGTCTAAGCTATTCACACTTTAAGTTGTGCTGACACCTTTATGTTGGTTTTGGTGTGGTGAATTTAGATTAGTCCCAAGCATGTACACTTATCTTAGCGACTAAATTTTTGGAGATTGTTGACTCATGTTTTTTTCCTCCATCCTTAGCTGGCACCATCCCAGTGAATGTTTAGCGGAAGTTTAACCATGATGACGACCTCAAAGATATCCCGCAGAAAATCGTATACATTTCCAGAACACGTGAATGGTTGTCGTTCTGTTTGTTGAGCTTAGCGATTTGGTTGCAAGCGTTTCGTCGCCGACCGAGATAACGTCATCAGTGCGTCCAGCTACGACGCACGAAGCCGGTTAGAAAAAGATACCTTTTAGTGATCTATACTAATTACGTACCAAGTGTACCGATTTTCGCACTTAGTTTGGACTAACCTTAATCATCCGTAGCATGCTCTATGTCATTTTGGGTGTCAAAATTGATCATAAATTCATTGAACAGCTGTGTTTAGTAGTTGAATGCTACAGTTGAACTGGAACCGAGTAAATCGTTTCGTGCTGTGGTTGATGGGTGCAGTGATATCCGAACGATTGTTGTTCCTATCAAAGCACAGCTGGAACAAATCGATCCATTTATGATTGTCTGTTGCTCATTTGACCTCTTTACACAGTTAAATTTGATAAAACTTAGTGTCTTCAAAAACTACTGGTAGGAACAGTACTAGTTTTCTGTTCAGCAGTTAGGCTAATTCCATCCTCGTTATTTCTGTTGTAGTCTCAACTGGCATTCGGATCTTCCCCCGACACATGCCCTATCAACTGAAGAATTTCGTGCCTGTAAGTTTTGGCATGCCAACTTAAATCTATCCTGGCAAAAATAACTCCTTTCGTCCGTGATCACACACAGAATATCATGTATAGTAGGCCGTTTTATTCCTCCCACTCCACCTCACCCCACCCCATTTACAAGCAGCGAATACATGGCCATAAGTGGGCTAGCCGGAGCTGTTCATCAGTATGTGCGGTGCATTGTGTGTGTGCGTGAGACAGGCTAACACCAGTCTTATTATGGTTTCCTTAAGGAAAATGTATTTTGTCTCGGTATTTCTATCTACCTTTCCTACCCCTTGTTAATTCAAGGGCACTGAAACTGCCTTAGGCGGATCGCTGTAGCGTTGTTTAGTGGCTCGATCAACAGAACTCAGTTAATTCGCCAAAGTATCCCTTTCTATTCAAACCTTTTTTCTCTTGCACTAGCTTTTCTATGTCGTGCGGAAAATCCTGAGTGATGTGTTCACATTGTTCTGTCCGGAAGAATTTAATCCAATGGATAATGTTTGCTTCTGCTATTTGGGTTCCTCCGAGGACATTTTGAGTCGTAGTTCCCACAGAATAGTTTGTGGATGGCGGCTGTCAGTTAGTTTGAAACGAATACAGAAAGACTAATGTGTAGCGATTGGAATGCAGAAATCAGGTTCGATAGGAATCTTAATACATGGTAATAGCAGTATAATCGTTAAGCCTAAAACACCCCTTCTGCGCCCCGCTGCAGTACCACCTGAAGGATGCACGAGCGCTGGGCTATTGCTAGGTTGCCCATGACTAGACAAGAGCAGTCAAGGATACAAGGTCAGGTTCGAACCACTGACCCTCGGGTTAGTAATTTCGCGCCTTAACCACTGAACTGTCGCGAAATCCGATAGGAATCGGTTGTTCAGTGGTCCAATAGTCCGGGGCTTCCCTCACCGTCAAATTTCACCGTGCCACATTTCGTCGCTTTCAGTATCATCAGCAGCTCGCCTTGTTTTGACCAATACGAGAGGCATGCGATTAGGATCGGTTACACCAGATTATCTGATAATACACCACAGTTCAGCGGGGCGATTTATCGAAGTCTGGCTCGTGTACTCACCTGCAGCTGTGGTTAGTACAGCAGCTTCTTCGGAACTCCACACGATTTGCCTATGTGCGAATACGCACTGCTGTAGGATCAGCGGCTAATGCACAAGCCAATCCAAAAGGCTACTGTAAATTTATGTCGCTGCTTTTGAATGATTTGTGTCACCACTGATACCCATTATGATTGACTTGCTTGACGAGAAAGGTATTACCGCTTAGCTGAGATAACTCGAATCGTTCACGGTTGAAGTAAGTTGGAACCGTATGCGAAGGAATGTGAAACTGAGACCGTGAATACTTGACATAAGGATGCTCTGTAGAACCGTAGTTTATGGATTTGTTCCATCAGGCCACGTAAAACGCAGACAAATGAGAGGAATCACTCTATAGGTTTTATGCAAAAGTTGCCTATTCCCGAAGTAAATGCATCTGAAATCCAGGGCACGCGTTTTTCCAAACTACAGTGAGATCAGACAGAAAATCGGAATGGTTACAAATCAATTATTGACGTCGTTTTTTCAGCTTACTTCAATTTGTTTTCCCTTGGTTAACGCTATGATGGTTTCCATTACATTAAGTCATTGCATTTACCCAGTAACACGTGTAATCGAATCTGGAACCATGACCAATAACGCATGGGACTTGTACGTCTGAAACATTCCAACCAATCTGCGCAGAGTTGATGGTCCGGATTCGATTAGATAAGTATAAAGATGAGGGAGCGTTATACTAAAATCAAGGTAACAACTCTGGTTAGGCTTTTTAATTGAAGGGGGATAAGCAAAGATGAAGAAATGTGCTTACCTTGGAACTGATGGGGATTCCGGCTCATGTCTTCCGACCACAGATGGTGTGGATATGATTCAGCTATAAAACTTCGTAGATCCTACTGGTCCAAGAATCTGGTTGCCCTTAAGTTTCATTGTTTATTCAACTGCAACAGGTCCCCCTATCCTCAAGAACTTAACCAGATATCCAATGACTTTGAATAGATCATGTCCTTACAAATATCACACTTTAGCTAATCCACGATGGGATGTAAATCGAATCTCAATGTGTGCATACCAATTAAAGTAGGTTGGATGATTCGGAGAGTAAGGGACGAACGAGAAGGAAAATCAGAGTTTTAAGTGAGAAGCTGAAGATACAACACAGGGACAGATAAAGCGTCACTATTGGCACTGGGTGCTTTGGATTTCGCGACACTCGTGCAGTATGCTCACTGCTGATGAAAGTTTGTTTTTCAGTGTAGTTATTTCTCCGCAGTGGAGGTGACACTTAGCAAATTGACGTTCGTCTTCCACCGAAGTGGACATCGATCGACTAATTTACGATTGGCTGCAGCTGAAGGGATTCCGTAAATGATTCGAAATGTTTGAAGTGCCTGTGTAGACACCTAGCACTCCATTATGCATTCGAAGGTGTCAAGTTAAGTGGCTTGTTGTCTTGAAGTACCTCAGCTTACCCATCCTGAAAGCTTTTTAACACGAATCGGGTATGTGTAATGCATCAGTCACACCCTCCCCTAACGATCACCGGTTGCCTATCGGATAGTCAGTATCACCATATTGTCCGTGGAGTATTAACCTGACAAATTAAGACGTTGATATTAGCTGCTTTGGTTCGGCTATTGGAAATACGTTTTTAATCTCGCCTTCTCTGACATAGTCCTTGGTTCTGGTCCACTGTCATTTCAAGTGTTGAACTGGACAGTCTGAATGACAGCCACTCGAAACTTTCGTCATGTTGAACGACAACCGCCTGATGGACAGTAACTCCACCCTAGGACAGGGTTTCTCCACGACCGATCACATTGTAGATCCATGTTGCTGTAAATCAGTAAATCTTGTCACTTTACAAGGATCTACTGAGTATTTGAGAACGCGGTCGTTATGGCAAATGCCGAGGAAGACATGAGTTCACTTAAACCAAGTTGGATGTCTCACTGTTCTGACTTGGAGGCCACTCAAGCCTCATGGTAAGGTTTGAAGTGGAAATTTGAACATTCATCTAATTAGAATAACAGCTAGTCTATCATATCGTTGTCATGTTGGGGATGGAAATGATATGTACTGGGACTTTTTGGTTCTCTTCTCTTTGGAGCGATAGTCATCTGCCTTCGTTTTGAACCTCAGTAAACGGTGTCAGCGTGCCCTATTGAGACCGAAACAGCTGTCCATTGGTTCATTGATTACAGCTGGACAGAACGATATATTATGCTCATTGCCAGGTTTTTTCTCGATAGTTACACTGACCCATACATCCTTTTCGCTTACAACTTAGTTTTCCAGCCTTCTTCCTTCCTTCTTACTTTCAACGTTCAGGTATGCCTAAATTCCTGGGCGCCCACTTGACTTGCCAAACAGCGTCTGAAGTGGGTTTGAATTCTTCCGATACACCTGCTACGGCGCTGTTCACAGAGTGGATGCGAACAGCGAAGCCAGTTAGTAGCTCTATCTTTGAGTTATCAGATACGTTCGAAATGGATCAGAACGATATGCCACACTTCACTGACTCTCTATTCGCTGACTTACCAAAACCACACGATGAAGTCGAGGTGAGTCGGGCTTTTCTTGGGACCTATTTTAGCATTCAGCTACACTGCTTCGCTGGCTAGATTTCTATTCACGTAAATTTATCCATGTTGGTGATACATTAATGTGGCAAATACGTCGACTAGATGAAGATGGTCATGAATAACAAGCGAAGTTCCAGCAGGTGTACTCGGTGCGATCTACTTTTAAGCTACCCAGCTTGACTACTTGTACTCGTGATCATTTCGTCACGTGACAAACACAGCTGGAGACAACCCAAACGCCTTGGAACAGGATACGGATAGGATACGAAAATAGAGCGACTGGTGCCATAAACTAAAGTTCGACTGGAGAAAAAGTAACTCAGCTCAAGTAATACCGGGGCACTGGTGCAACTTACTGTTAATAAAGCAAGCTTTAAGGGTGTGGATATGTGGTGAATTTTGACACATTTTCACCTACGCACTGCAGTTGTCTATGAACTTTCTATCCAGGTATTGGTATGATAAATAACTTTGAAATGAAAAGAAGTGTTATCATTGTTTGGATGTTTAGGAACCTCGAAATGATTGTAGTAGGTTAGCACTAAGTCCTTTCCTCGTCCACTTATTCTATTCTATTCCCAATAAGGCTTTCGAATAAGTCATGATTGTACGGCAGAGATTCAACAGTGTGGAACATTAATGCTATGCTGTCTATGATGATGATTTAGGGGACCGTACGAATAGTTTCGAATGATGGCCACAGTCTCGATCGTTCCACACCGACAACAAAGACCCTAGATGATAATATTAATCAAATTTCTTCTAGTGTAAGCGTAAAACTGAGTAGAAAAATGCTTGCGACCCTCGCATATTCGATTGTCTCTGAGTTGTGGTGAATTGCCATTGGGTTCTGGACAAACTATCTTGTTGGAAGCGGGGAAACAGTTTTTTCTTTCTCGTTTCGCGGATGTCTGTTTTTTTTTGCACAGGAAAGTGGTTATCCTGCGTCCATTTTATCTTTTCGGGATATGGCCTGTTCTTTCAGGTCGTTTGAAAGGTCAACAGACAAACTTCACCAGATATGCAGACCTGTGGTTTCTCCCCCTCCGTTACTAAAGATGTAATTGTGTGTACCGTCTGCTTACGGGTTCGAATGTTTATATTTTCTGTATTACCTTCGTAGAACAATTCGTTTTTTCTTCATGTGGTCATATTGTACCTGGCGTTCAGTTCATTCCATGACCAGCTGAAGATTCGTATAATTACAGCGAAAATAATTTCGATTAGGTCGACATATATTTATGGAGTCCAGCTTTGTCAGAATAGTAGCTACTTGTTGCTTATAGTTATGACTGATAATAATAATCGTTCAGCTGTAACATTCTTCCGGTGCCTAGCTGCCATGCCACCCGAAGGAAGCACGAGCGCTGAGGTACTGCCAGGCTGGCCAAGAATCATGGTCCTTCCATTCACTAAAATCGCGCTTCAACCACTGATACATCTCGGGCTTTACTTGTTGCTTAAAGTAGTGTCTTTACATATTATCAGGGTGACGTAAGAAATCGGATACTCCCCTGACCAGACCCATTGGGCACTGCGCATTATACTGTACGGGACTCTTCTTAATTGAGTTCTTATCTTGCAAGATTTCCCATTATTGTTGCTGTTGCTACACATTGGTTGTACTTATTGGATTCGTTCACTTCAAATCGTACCGAAACTCCAACGGCACCCGTAAACAAGGTGCAGTATTCCCTCTTTATACTCATTGTAGATGTTTGCTATCTTCCGGGCACGATACTACTGATAGGAGATAAACTAATTGTAAACACAGTCCCTGTGCACTACCAGCATCTCCCTAATACAATCGAATTTCCTGGTTTTCTTGATTTCATGTTGGGAGAGAGTACCATAATCCCTAATACAATCAATGACACTCAGCGCCTTGGATATCTGGTCTCCTTTCAAAGGGTATGCGCCAAACGAGACTCCTTACCTCACCCGACCAGTTCATCCACATCCACAGAATCCTCTGTGCATACAGTGTCAGAACGTTTCTGGTGTCTACAATTCAATAACAGCATTTTAAAATTCTTCTTTACGATTGCACAAATGCCAGTCGAAATTTCAAGAAACCTAACTGAACGTTCAGAGAATAGAAGCAGTATCATACACATTACCCATTGGGCCTAATAGGGAAAATGTTCTAAATGTACTTCTTGATACCTTCCTACTTTCGCCAGAAACATTTTGAGAAAGTTCTCCCATCACCCATGGTGGGTGGGTTATACAACGCATTGGCGAATTATTAAGCGCTCTCAAAAGACGACACAGTGGTTTTATCATCGTGCACTGACACCTGCTGCTATGGTCACAATATTTTCGGTTTCGTGGCAGCCACGATAAGACACACACGCTCTTAGTCCGCATAAGAGGTACCCACAATAACTAGTATGCTAGTTGTTTGTATTCAACTATACTCCCCTTTCTGCTGATGGTTTGTGAACTGCCTGTTCCTGTGGGTTCATCTTCGAGATAGTATGCAGTGGTTCTGATCTACTTTTGTTTCTAAATTAGATTTGTACGTGTCGGAATTTTATGACCATTTCGCTGTTGACAGCAGACCTATACAAGTTAACAGTTTTCCGGTAACTGCCTCTGCATTTTTTCATCTCTCTGTGTACTCATATTTCTAGCTTGCATTTGCCCGCTTCCAAGCACTGGACGCCCATGGACAAACCAAACAGTCACTGCTTTGGGCTCGCTACGTTGCCTGTCGCCTCCTTTATTTGAGCCCACAATTTCTCGCCGATTTGGAAAAAGCCACTTTCGAAGTGGTGGGCACATCGATAAAACCGACCAAGTCGGTTTTGAGCCAGCCAGATTCGGGCGCGCTAGGTGATGCTAATTCTGAGTCAAACGTAGGTCGTGTTTATGATCTCAATGCACGGCGTCAAAAGAAAGTCGCTGGAAATACAGTTATACATGGCTCATCTGCCTACAGCTCATCGCTTCCAGCCAGTTCCCAAACAACTGGAGAGAACAGCAGGTTGAAAAAGCCGAACCCTGGAGCCGCAATCATTCAAGATTACAATGGCGTACCGGAGAATCAGGTCAATAGCAAGGCACTCACCTGGTCAACAAGGTATGTTGCCAGCCAGATTCGGGCGCGCTAGGTGATGCTAATTCTGAGTCAAACGTAGGTCGTGTTTATGATCTCAATGCACGGCGTCAAAAGAAAGTCGCTGGAAATACAGTTATACATGGCTCATCTGCCTACAGCTCATCGCTTCCAGCCAGTTCCCAAACAACTGGAGAGAACAGCAGGTTGAAAAAGCCGAACCCTGGAGCCGCAATCATTCAAGATTACAATGGCGTACCGGAGAATCAGGTCAATAGCAAGGCACTCACCTGGTCAACGAAGGTATGTTAACCATGTTTTAGGTTGGGCTAGCACAATTTCCATCGGTGAATAAGTGCCTTCTACCATTCACACCTACTTAAGCCGTATTCAGTCCCAGTGGGCTCTCATTTACTGTCTGATGAGTATGCATTAGGTAATCAGTCAGTTTCTTTGTGAATTGGCTATAGCTACCACAGTTCTGTTTAATTCTAGTAGCGGGTACCTGGAAGAAGCACACTTCCGTTAAAAGTTGCAAGAAATCTTACTGACAGAATGACGTCGCACAACCAATCGCGCTATCGCACCTTGGTCTCCCATGACCCTCCTTTCATTTTTCTATATCTTCGGATTCAGGGTGGCGTCCCTCGTCCGTCGTCAACTAAGAATATTGGTCGTAATTGTGGTACTCAGACAGGGAATCTGTGATGACAGCAATTTTCCGTACTACTTCACAACTTCCGTAGAAAAACTTTTTCCCATAAGAAGAATGAGACTTGATGTATTCAAGCGCTTTCAAAGTAGCGAAACGCTCGGCCTTCTTTACAACTATATAATATCTTGGAACATCATAGTATGTTTGTTGTGTAAACACAAACAATTTAGACGCTAATATGGTCGTGGTAGTAAACAGACCTCTTATTGAAAATCAGTTTTACAATCACTGAATACGGAAGTCGTTAGAAACATGTTTACTACGTGTGTTTGCTGGTGTTCAAAGGTGGTAAGGATCAGCCCCGCCGATTCTTCAGCTGTCAATGTAGAAGATAAGACTGACAATAACTTGTCACTGAGGAATTACTTCTTCGTCTTAGTTGGTCCTACTACGTATGCGGCTGAGCTATTACGGCCCTAGATATTCCATTAAATTTATACTTGATGTTAAGGCGTTGCATCAATGTCTCCTCTTTTCTTTATTGTCACCATGGTCGTCATTGAGAATATCACACCGACAGTAAATGTTCATGCTTGACTGCCACACAAAAGTGAAAGAAGAACCAAAGAGACTGGAGAGAGGTACAGACTTATTGTAGGGAACCGAATGCTTCTAGGTTGCAGTGGCCAATAACAAACTACTTACACCATCCAGCAGTGGACAAGTATGCACATCAGAGCACTTTTCTGACGTAAGATGATATCAATAGGACTGATTCAAAACCATTGGCAAACTCAATAAAGTCCGTTTCTGGTGTTATATTTAACCCGGAGTTGAATGTCTTGTTACGAATCTCTTGTCACATGTTGATTGGCTTCCCGTTTGCCAGCCATTTGTTTAGTTGTTGTGAAAGCCTTTTCTGAAAAATACATTTCATCCACACTTTCTAGTACAAATAACTCCCACGTTGTCAAGTACTTTGTGACATCGAACCTACAGTAGTCAGTGTGGTCTACAAACCGGTAATTATCCATCATTGTGGCGGAGTAGGTAATGCAAGAGACAGCGAACTATACCGGGTTTGTCGTGCGACGTTTATTTTTCTATGTTCTCTTCAAATAGGCAGCTGACCATTCCTGTGGTTGTTTTAGTGTTTTTCCCCACACACTCAGTTAACGATATTTGGTACCTCCATGCTTGTGCTTATTGTGTTCTAGGTCAGTCAGTTACTGGACCAAATCCGATATCTCATGGAGTGCCTCACTCGCAGTTACAACGAGACTGTGTCAAATGTGGCCAACCTTTCTTCAACCAACCGCATCACAAGCAGTGGGCGAACTCTACTCACTTTTCGCGGGCCAGATCCGACACTGGTGAATCTTCATTTGGATGAAACCGCTTCACCTGTCGCTCAACAGTCTGGTCAGTTGAGCTTCCAATCAATCAAAGATGAATGGATGTGTATCGACATCGAGCTTGCATTCCGTTTGGGATTCTATGGTCTCAGCCTTCCACGACCGCCTACTCAGAGTCCAACACTCGAAGTTCGGTTGTTCGATCAAGAAGTCGCCCTCGTTAGCCGCCTTTGTCGGTTACCACTTCATGCGGCTTGTCCTCACGTTCTAAAGAGTATACGTTACGAAGCCAACATGCTAGCACGAAGTCCTCCCACCTACCACACGGGTAACGTCCATAATTATCAAAACCAAAGTTATTCACAGTTTTTTTTACCATCGTTTCCTGTTTCTCCGAATATCCTGTGGTTCCTCATGCTATGCTGCTGCATGGTCTTAAAATTAACTTTAAACCCTCGTTTCTGCTTACGTAGGGGTTGCCACAGGTAGTTATTCAGCAGTTATTCACAGTTATTCAGCATTGACATTTGCCTGGGAACTTTCTCTTACTTAGCTAGAACGCCTGTATTCTGCGATTATGTGCAATGTCGTTTCCTGCTTGTCAAATCATTCCTTAATTAGTTCTCTCCAGCTGCTTCGACGTATCAGTCATGTAACGTCACGTGGATTTAGACAGATTGACGGGTTATAGCTATTGTAATGATCCATACTGGAACGTGTGATTGAAACTCCTTACAGTTTGTTGTGGTCGCCAAACCGTTGCAATTCCGTCTAGAAAATCAGACAACACTTTTCATCACTTCAAATTTTATCTGCTCTGGACTTTATTGAGCTGTTGTCGAATTTCCCCATTTTCAGACGTTATTGTGCCTTATAACCTGGCCGGTTACATATTCCATCAGCTGGTTGGCACGCGCCCCACATCGGAAGTGCTTGCCAGTCTCACAAATCCCGTTCCTACCACGGGTCTGCCCGATTCTCATGGCTCGTTTGATGATGGTGGAGCGAGTGCTGACGGAGCTTCCTCCGTGACCGGTTTAAACAGAACTAGCACTTCTAGAGCCCAACAATCGGCCGAACGCGAACCGAGTGATTCGTCTGGAGGCGATAATTCAAACTCAGATAGCATCCATTCATGTCCTGTTCTCGCTACGGGTGCAATTCTAGCTGGTCCTGATATTCCACTTGTAGTGAGCAGCCACCGTTGTAGGAAGGATGCGAGAGAATCGTGGACGAAAAGTAGCAGCTATCTGGAAACGCTCGATCTAGCGGCCTTGCAAGACGCCGTGGTGTCAGATGCAGAGCTAGGTTTTTTGGTCACCTTGACGGTTATTGGGTTGCGCTCCCGTGTTCCACAAGCCGCGTATCCATATTTTATCGAGGGTCAGTGGGCTCACCACGATGCTTTGGTTGTTTACCTCCTGCGGCACTACCGGGACGATGTTGCCAAATTGGACCGAGTAAGTGCCTACCTAACGCGTGTCTCTGATTTTTTTATGACCTCTGTCGATTGTTTCATCCCAACCGCTTCTTTGTGTGCCATTTTTACTTTACAGATACTGATCCATCTCATAGATCTCCAGTACAACCCTCACTTCAAAGCACCTCCACTCTGGGCCTGTTTATCCTTACCCCCGCGAGACCTGATGCGGTATGATGTGAGCGATCAACAACAAGCTGTGAGCCAACCCGCCCAAACTGAAAACCGTGAAGTCCACAATACCGAGCTGCCCACTTTTGTAGACGTTCCCAACCAGTTACACACCTTATCTTTGCATCCCTCTGCGTCACTTCCTTTAATGTTGTCGAACCCGGGATTTGGCTCAGGTCACGAGCGTCAAACAGTAGACCCACTGGATGTTGTAGTTAACCCAGTGGTAACGCACCACTCGGAACCATCGCAGGCCGCGAATTCAGAGGGCATTCCCACCCAACATGTAGCCGAATCGACAGCTCCCACGGTAAACAATCCATCAAACGTAGCCGAAGCCGTGGACTCAGGTAGGTTCACTTTGTTCGATCCTGTTGTTTCCGTTTTGATTGAGGACATCTCTAGTCAGACCAAGCCCATGTATTTCCCGCCTTTAGACTATGACTGTCTTGTGACAGTCGCATCACTATCTCAATCCATTTGCACGGCACACTTCACTCTCGACTCAACTTTCCTAAATCCTGCTATGCTTCAGATCTGTTGTTTGTTGTTTCCAACAGGTGGTCCGAATCCGTACTCAAGGTGTAAGCGTTCACTGACTAATAAGCATAGGTTCTTGATCTTGAGGTTTGTTTCCCAGTTGGTTGTATTCCGATCCTTTGACAACAAACCATTGTTTTTGTCCTCTTCCCTATACAAACCAAGCAACTCTGAACTCGGGGCAAGGCTTCAGCGACTCGGCGGAGGAGGCTTCGCAGGATCGCACTACATCCCAGTTCAATCCAATCCAATGTAACGAGACACGAATTTATGATCCGTTATCAACCAGCGAGGACACGGACACTGTGTCTGACTCCAAAGTAAGGGTTTGTAAATGGGGTTCGTTTTTGTTTGGTTCGCACAAATATCTATCCATCTCTCTCGGTTAGAGTCCGTCTGCCTCGCTTGGCTCTGATTGACTCGGTTTTGAGGACGCGAACTTACTCACCAGTAGGTCCATGGTTCAAACCCACCCCCTGCATGTCGACTGCTTCTGTCCGGACTTGGTTAACCTGACAGTATCTTAACCCTCGTGCTTCCTTCGGTTTCATGGCATCTCATCACCAAAAAAGTGTTGAAGATAAACGGTTATTATCACTTGGTGTTCGCTCCGAATAACGAAAACACAATGGCCCATAAATTCGTTCCGGACGAGCATCCTCATGGTTTAAACGTACTGCTAATGGATTGCAGTTCTCATTCTTAGCAGGCTATGCGTAAGCTTCCTTGACGGCAGTGTTTTGCCAGTCATTTGGATTCATGCTTGACGTGTTTCGTCTCTAACATGAGTGAATTGTGTAACCTCCCCAGCCTGAAACATTGAATACAATTTTTCTGGTTTTGGAGAGAACACCATTCGGAAAACACCGGCTTTGGTTGTCTCTCATGCTTTCACCTACTTTGTATTTGAAAGTGCTGTCGTCAACCTCTTCCACTGCAACAGCTTTCTGCAGGTTTTATATATTAACAATTCGGCGTGACAACCTGAGTGTCGTAGAAGGCCTTCAGACCATATGCTTTCTGGGACTGAAACCATTGCGCGGTGGTAGGTCGACTGATAGTTCTGGCTCCAAGTCCCCTCCTTCAGTTTGTCAGGGCAATCAGGTCACCTGTCACTAGGAATGTGGAGTCAGGAATCCAAGTGTGTTTTCACACATCACATTCTGTAACCTATCCAACAGATGTCTTGCAACCCTTTGCACTCTGTTTATCATAATTCTCCCGACGTACAAGACCATTCTGCGCATCCACAGTATTTGAAACACGATTGCACATTTTATCATACAGGGTTCTGGAAGTTGCTGACTGTTGAAAGTTTGCTGAAAGGCCTAAACATGCAGACAAGTATGTCTCTGACTGACGCAGAACCCCATTTTTACATAAACATGCTCAGTTTATGTAAAAACGATAGTCATTGATCCTCCGACCAATGGTTTAAGTTGAGTTGGTATATCTAGATACCGTGACTAGATCCGCTACTGGATCGTTACTGTGGATCTCGAGTGCCATGGTCAAACATTTATGATCTTGAGGGTTACATTCGCACGATCTAATGCTGTTAGGTTGATTTTCGTGAGCACCGGTTCACTGAACTTTACGCAGCTCGATCGGTACCAGTTCACTTCGTGAGCAATCTGAACACTACTACACGGGATGATGTAATCTGGCCTTTGCGTTTTATGGTGTCCTTGGTTGTGTTTTACTTTGCTTAGTACCTGTTTGGTATCCAGCCTCATTATTACTTGAACAGTAAAGTAAAGAATGCAACACACCTATATTTGCGTAAGCAACCTATGTGCATTTTTCTGGTAGATAGCTTGGGTTATTTGAAAATCCGGACTTCATTCACGATTATACTGCCCACCATATTGAAGTCGACCGATTTCTAGATTGACTGCCCTAAAAGCACTCCTGTGCCTATGGGGTACAAGAATCTACGGACCTGTTAGAACGATGGACCGAATGTTCTAGAGACTATGAGCTTGTCTTGGCTGTTGATCCCCTTCTGCCTAACTGTGTGGTGGTCCCAACTGACACCTAATCCGCCCCTGTTCGAATTGTGCATTGTGCTAATCGCAGAACTGGATGGTCGATTTAGGACCAACTTTTAAATCTGTATATTTTCCTAATAACCAGCCGCTGCTGTCAAACTGTCCACACCGATGTACTCCTCTTTACCTTACACACAGACATGGTCGGACACATTCCGTTGCGCAGTACTACGGAATTCGCGCAATCGTGAGCATCATTCAGTCGGTTTGGCCGCCGTAGACACCAGTGCCCCTGAAACAACAAGTAGTGACAATTCCCCAGCCGCTTGCCGGCGGCATTTGTTGAATCCAAAAACCATCACGGCAGCCACCACTGGTGCAAGTATTGGTGGACCAGCGAGTCCTCTTCCTTCTGGTCCCTCAAATACGTTGAACAACGCACCATCAATACCTCAAACTCCCACTCCGGGGATGCACGCGGATACGGTTGTTACCCGCGGCCACCGCAAACGTATGGCCATTACGATCAACCCGTCTGTTTCGGCGTTCTCTTCTTTTTCTGACGATGACGATGACGACGATTATGTCCCTGTCCGACAAGACTACCCATACAATACACAGGCTAGCATGACTACGTCCAATCTCGTACACCAGGCGACCACAACAGTCGTGAGTGAAATTTCGCAGAGCGATATGATTCATTTCAAACTGGGATACCCCAGGGGTTCAGTCGTGAGATCCTGACCCGGAGGTCCTCAGTCCGAATAGACTTCCGAGTTTCCAATTGCTCCTGTCTAGAATTAGGCAGTTTGACAGCATTCCGGTGTTCAAACTTCCCGTCAAGTATTCGCACTAATGCTGACTGATTACTGTTCTCCTTGCTGCTCCCCACAGATTGTTCAACAGTCATGGGTTCGGTGTTTGCTCGATTGTGTAGCCTTGGCAGTTTATCACTATCAATAATGTACGTTTTGGCCAACTCGTCTGTGAATAGAACAAATGCATTATCAGACTTTGTTGCGCAATGTACTGCTGTGCTCGCTGCACTTCGAATTTTCTTTTCGAATTCTGGTGGTCCTGATAGGTGGCGTAATGGCCAGTAGCATGACCAAACGATTGGGAACCTGAGGCAACAGTGAGAAAGTAGTCCGTGCAGTGGCCAGCGCTGAGTGGTGTTATGGTCAAACATTGAGCACGCGATCGATTTCCTAATTCCGTATGTGTTGCATTTAGCTGCCGCTCTATTACATAGTGTACTTGCTTTCAAAGACATGAAAATACGTACGAACAAAGTGGGCAAGCAAATTCTTGCTTGATAGAGGGCAGCAGTTGACTGCTTTGGATCTGAAGGTTCGTATCTCGACTGGTCCCCATCCGGATCGCGCTCTTAGACGTTTTTCACCTCGACGTCTTCGTCGGAAACAATCCTCCCCAGCCTACAAATGCCACTAGCTCTTTTGCGTCACTTTCAAGGTTCCAGTTATTTTTTCTTGGACTTTCTTACTTTTCGCATTTCGATGTCCTGTCTGTATTTACAAACTTCAATTGCGTGGTGCGCCCGCACTGAAATTGTTCACACGCCCAACATGCTACACCGGGTGTTTTTTTGGTCAGATTCATGCTATCCTAATGTTCCTTGTTTACCTCAGATACACATTCGTCCCGTTGGCAGTGAAGGTTGATCATGTATGTATACTGTTTCTGCTTGACGCCACTAGCGTAAGTTGTCGTGACGTTTGGAAAATGGGTTTTGGGTATGTGTTATATCCTCTACTGATGTATCAGTCAGATTCGTCAGTTCATCCGAATGGAGAAGACAAACAAATTCGAGGAAGTTGTACTGCAAACAAGTGGATCGTCCCATGACATGTAATTCAAGTGAACCGGAATATAAGAAGGGCTAGCAGTCCAACGGTATATCCTTGAGACAACAAGGTTTCAGTATGCAAGACAATTGTTAGCAAAGTGGATTTTTTCGTTTGGAGGCAGTCCTGCTAACAGTATGCGCTTAAAGGTAACCAGACTGGAAAAAAACATTCAACCCCTTTCTTCCCTGAGCGGATTGTTACTGTATTCTTTTCGTTGCTAAATCGATAAACTGTATTTTGTTCTTCTTGCGACTCCGTTGCAAACAAAAAAAAACAATCAATTTCGTACCTTCCATATTCACAGACTCCAAATACCCACGCAAACATACCAACAATGCCTACTTCCCAACCGGAACCAGTTCAACTCCGTATGCAGACCGAAAGTGACTGTCACGGTTGGCCTGCCCACATCAAACGCCCTCCTCCCCAACCCCTGTCCGACTCAATTGCCTTTCATACGTTCCACCTTGCCAAGTTAGTTCGCAAACTTGCTGGAGGTCCGAGTGCCAACGGGTCCGTGTTTGTGGCTGAGCCCGAGGCCAATGCTACGGTACACCGGAATTTGCAGTTGGTTGCCTTTCAGGTATGTGCTTGACGCTCATGCTTACTGTGAAAAGATTCTGCTACAGTGGTAAGACCAAAAATAACATCGTCAAATAAGAGCAGTAACTGGGTGTGATCGAAACCGCCTGCACAAGTTCCTCTCACTTCCACGGCTGTTTCACTTAGGGGTTAGGAGTACATAGACACTGGTGTGTCCTGAGTACAGCTCAGGTATATGTCTGTGAGTCTGTCACTCAAACACGGCTCATTTGTCATAAATTACTGATCAGCTATGTCCATACATTCCGATTACGGGACAAAGTGAGAGCGAAAATCGAGCTGAGATGATACAAAGTAGTTGTTATCGATCTTCATCTTACCAGGTCACATCCCCGTTCAGAATCAACCTTATTCTTAAATTTCGCCTTACGAGTAGTGTGAATTATATCAGATAGTTCATGGACGGCAGACTAACTTGTGGTAGACGTAACCCGTACAACTTGACTAACGATCCTGTACCAAATACTCTACTTCTTTTATCCGGAAATCAACTACCGAAAGATTGTCTTCAAGTCATTCTAATGTGCGGCACCTCAGCATTACTAATCCGATGTTTTACCAGACCCAACCAATAATTCCGAGGCACCGATCGTCAAATACTGAAATCTCTCGTGTCTTCTGGGCTTAGATGTCGCGTTTCTGACCCACAATGTGGTATGGATCGTATTGTCACAGTGCAAATTTCACCCTTGACAGACAAACTGATGTCACGTGCGTGCCATTTGTGTCGGAGTTTGGCAAGTTTTCCGATTCTAGAAGTCACATCGTCTTCAGCCAGTGAACCGGAATTAATACAACCGCCTAGGTAAACAAATTTGTCTACCACATCGATTGGCTCTTTCCACAATACTTTCACTTTCCACCTGCTACCTCCAATCCAAGCTGTTGGCCTAGTTAAGCATCATCGTTCTGCCCCTGACGACCTTCCACTTACTCTGTTTAAGGGTGGTGGTGAATTTCCCAGTTGGTGCCTGTCCAGCCTATCTATGTCGATCTAGGAAAAAGAGGCCGTTCCAGATGACCAGAGTTAGTCAACAGTGTTGCCCATTTTCAAAAAGGTTACTCGCAGTGGATGGAGGTAAACAGGGAGTCGTTAGTTCTGTTGTAACAAACCTTTTGGCGCCACTGATTCTTCGTCGTCTCGCGGCGTAACGCGAATCCTCGACCCGTGAGCATCAAGTGGGGTTTTGACAAGGCAGAGGTTGCGTCGACCACATTTCCACACTCCATCAGGTGTTAGAGCAACGCCATATGTGCAGTCAACCCATAATCTTGGTATTCCTTGACTTCAGGGGTGCTTTCGATGCCGTCGGTCGGTCAGTGCTATTAATCATATTTGCTCAACAGGGTATGTCCCATAAGTTTGTGAACATAATGCGTTCCATATATTCACATGCTTTCCGGCGTGTGTGAGTTTATGTTGAGTTCTCCAAAAGCTACCTTACAAAGAGTGTCCGGAAGGGATGTCGACTCTCTCTATTCTTGTTCAACTTTGCCGTCAATGAAATAATGAGGCAAACACTGGAAGGTCGTCAAAACCCCGGTGTTCAGATTGTTGCTGGTGAGGACCTTGTCGATCTGGAGTAAGGAGACGACATCACCCTCATCTTTGAAAACCAAGGTGAAGCACAAGCTGTGTTGGATAAACTGACCACCGTCTTTTGGCATGCGCCTAGCACTTTCAAAGTGCAGGGTCATGCTTCAGCACGTGCCATCTGTGAACATATCCCTTATAATTCAAGGAGAATAACTGGAGGTTGTAGAAAATTTAGTATACCTCGGTAGTTGACAGAAATGCACAAGAATCTTGAAGGCTCAAATCAAATTTGCTGATTCGTGTCACTCGTGGCGTCAAAAAGGCGTACCACTAGGTCCCAAGGGTCACGTGTACGGGGGTACGGTAAGGGCTGTATTATCGTGTAGCGAGACGTTGCTTCTGCGGACAGACGAAGTGAGGCGTGTTCAGGTTTTTGACCACCGATGCCTCAGAAGCGTTGCTGGTTTTGAATGGCGTTCACGGATTAGAAAACGGGCATTGGGTTCTGCAGAACATCCTGCATCATCAGCTGAGGTGGCTACGCAACGTTCTACGCGTGCCGAAATATCGACCTTTGAGACGAGCGTTTTCCTCCGTGCCCCATTTAGAATGGCGGAAACTGAGAGATGAAAAACGTGTCTTGGCACCCAATATATTGCGATGGACACCAGGCTGATGTCATGATGATTTTCGCATGACTTCCTCGCGCCCTTTTTGAAAACTGGGGTAACGGTCGAGGAGCCTGTTTTAGCTAGTGTTTTGTTTTCGTTCCGAATAAACTGCAGTATTGTTATCAGACTGTTCACCAGGACCTTGCCACCTTCTTTGAAGAGTGCGGGATGCAGACCATCCTGGCTAGATGCCTTGTCGCCTTGGAAAATTGATATCACGCGCCTGATTTCTGTTGTTGATGGCGGGCTAGTGTCGATGTTTCATTCACGCCCACTGGGTTCTTCCAGGGGTTATGTTGGAGACCAGCTGAACCGTTCTTTGAGGTGTTCAGACCGCCGCTCAAGATGATAATTGTGTAAATGAATTGCTGGTCCGTCTTTCTCGCATATCGTTTCAATGTCATTGTCGTCATTTAGCCGATTGGTCGAATCAGCTAAAATACGGCGTGTCTGTCTACAGCGAGAGCCTTCTCCATCTCCTGGGCCTTCAGAATCCACCAGCGTTCACTGTCATTCTTCAAGTTCCTGCTTATCCGGTGTATGAGGGATCTGCGTGCGCTATCACAGTAGCTCGTTCCAAGTCTGACTTCTTTAACCCGCTTTTATTCGAGCACCAAGCAATCTTCGTCCCTAGCAGCTTTCTAGCCAGATCAGCCACTTTTCAGCGCACAACTGAAACAGTCGCTCCCTGTTATCTGCACACTGAGAATCGACTTCAAATCTAACACCTGATTGTTCTCCTTCCGGACTTATTCATCCAACTTGGGGATTCATTCTGCCCGCCAGGATTACTATATCCGTCCTTCTGGCTGACCGAAACAGTCGCGACCGATCTCTATAAAACGTGCACTTCTCGATTTCAGAATGACAGTCTGTCGGAGGAGGGGTATGCCCATACAACAAATAGACACTGTTTTCCAAGTCGACCTGTACTGATCTTGAGCCAGCGCAAGGACGACTGTTTACTGGGATCCAGTCCAGTAAGGTGCTTTTATCCTTGGGGCTGAGTGCAACTCCTTTACATTAGATATCACGATTCATTGCGTCAGAATCACCAGATACCCGAAGAATGAAATGCGGGACATCCGAGCCCGTTCTAAACCTGGAGGTGGACGAACGAAGCTGGATCTTGTATGCGTGTTTCGGAGACAAAACATACTTCTACAGAGTGGGAAATCAAGGTTTCAGCGAGGGATAACCGTTGCCTAATTTGACACAACGGACGGACATTAAAGGCTACAATGTGGATAAGATCTCTTGAGTAGTTTATTTTATGAAAAGGTGATCATTTTGATTTATTTTTCTGGACGATGGTTTGGACACTGAACAATAGTTAGGGGACTGGTTGATAGGTTGTTCGCACTGCATCGATCTATGGATTGTGAGAGGTTGCGATAGAAGGCCGGTGAGGGAAGAGCTGCGAGAGCGAAGGACCATTCCTGATTGCCCAAGCCGAAGAATGGTGTTTGGTTGAAGTACACCAGCTTGAGCCGTTGACACAAAAGTCTGACCCACAGGGCAGTGGAGGATGTAGGGTTTTGTTCGTGAACCCTAGCCGTAGTCTCTGTTTCAAAAGTCCTAACCGCGAGGTAGCGGTTGTTAGGACCTCTTCCCGGAGCTAAAGACCCAATGGTCTGATCCACTTCGCTGCAGATGACCGGCCTGAGGACACATGGAGTTAGGCATTACTGTTTAACTCCGAAGGCACAGCAGCAGCACCGGACTCTGGTTTTAGAAGTAATTCGACCGTATTGAATAATGCACTGGTGATCACGATCAACCACTTTGCGGTTTTTAGTGCCAGTCTTATCTAACCCGTCCTTTCTGAGCGGAAGGCAGCAACGCTGTGTCATCATCATCAAAGACAGCAACATCAGTGTTGGCACTGATGCTTCACTGCCGTACGCTGTGTCCATAAATGTGGATGTGCTAGTCACCTAGAGGAAGCACTTTGTCTTCACACTTCGCAGTGTCTTCACACTCCTAACACGGAGGACGGCACTACTTAATCACCAGACAGCCTCGTAATACGACTTCGCGCAGAACGGTACTCGCTGTTCTTCGTCGGCCCTTGGCATGAGCCTTTGAGAACTGTGTTCCAGCCATCACGGCCCCCAAGATCATTGCAGCACGGAGGCCTGACCGCCACGACAAGGTCAGAGCTTTCGGTCGGGCTTAACTCGATGGGCTTTAGTTATCGCTGTAGCGATACTGATTTGTTACTAATTTCTCGGTAACGCACCGTTTCATTGCGAACACGCTACAGTGAATGCACTAGTGCTATGTCACGACTGAGTGAACTCTCGGCGTATCGTTTCAGAAATATGTGAGAATCATTTGGTAGAATACTCTAAACATTAACTTCTCGATCGGCTTGAAGGTATTCACGACCGACGATGTGACTTGGTGTACCTTCAAAAGTTCATATTCAGTTTGAATCAGTTTAGGAGCATTCTGTCGAGGCTTCTGTCACTATTCCTGCCTGTTAGATTCATCCTCGTCTTGTACGTGGTTACTTCGTTCAAATTCTGAAGCTACCCTCTCTTTTTATACCTACTTTCATCATAATCTGTTTATTTGAGGATACCGTACCATCACACAGCTCGTTTTTTCACCTATCGCTCATGTTTATGCTTGTTCAAAGCTAGTTTTCATTCAACTATTTCGCTAAAAATTCGCAATCACTGCTGATAGCACTTCAGCCACCGGTGGAGAGCCACAATCCAAGACTGCAGTTCTTTCTGGGGCACACCACTTGACTCCGATCACGCCGTGGTGCGCGTACCCTTGATAGTTCGTTTCCCTTCAGGCCATTGCAAGTCGGCAAGAAGCATACCAATCCACTGTCTTCGAAGAACTGCCGTAGCTCAACACTATCGATCTGAGATAGCCCAACAACTTTCCACAGTAAAACAATACTGTGGTGGTAGTGAGCATGTGGATGAAGCCTGGCAAAATGTGAAAGGAGAAATGCTAGCGGCGTTCAGTCCTGTCTGCCCGACTTCTCCAATTCGACCACAGGACCACTGGATGTCGTCGAGGTCGTTGTCCATGATTGATGCCAGGAAAGCCATACCAGCAGGCAACGAGTACGACGGTGCACGCAAATCCCTCAAACGCCAAATAGTGAAGAGTCCAAGGAAAGACCGAGAGCTCTGGTGGATATCGGAAGCTCGGGAGATGGAGAAGGCGTTTGCTACGGGAAAAAGCCGTGCCCTTTATCAACTGATACGATC